CCTAGATTGGTTCAACGAGATTTTTTTTCCACTGGTGGTTTTCAGTGTATTTTTCAGAGGTCAAAAAATCTTCCCAAAGGAGATAAATTAAAACTAGTCCTTGTTACTTAGACCTCACAGGTACCTAACATTAATACTGGTACTTGTAAGTTAATTTTAGAAGTTGACAGAATAACATTATACTGAATTATCACAAACCAGTATTTATCAGAACTAGTACCTTCGTACATAGAAGAGTTTGTGTGCCAACTATCAAATTTTGGGACCAACATTTTGTGGCTAACTTAATTTTTGGAACATACTGTAAATATTTTGAATAACTTTAGTCATTCAAGGTTAGTTTTTAGTATAGCATAGTTATGGCTTTTTAAAATGCAAACAATAATTGCAACATTTGTAATTTTCCTAAAAAAAAATCAGAATTACTCCCACTGCTTATTCATAATAAGGGTTGTTGACAAGCTAATCGGGGAAAGTATTTGTCAGATTGCTGATACCGTTCATTTACATGATTAAATTGGCAATAATAATGGACAAAATTGTACAATGTACCCTTGAAAAATCTAAATTTAATGTTGTTTTGCATTATGAATTAATTTTTAGAAGCTGGAATCACTAAAGACTACTTAAAGGATCTAGCTAGATATCGAGTTGTAGTCTTGTTATTACATTTTTAAAACCTTGACATTATGCAGCTCTCCAAAAATCATTTTCTTTCATGTGTTGTTATTTTTATTAATGGTAGTGAATAATATTTTATTTTCTCCAAACAGATCACTAAAATATCAAATCAACCTGTTTATCCCTCCATTTTTTTCAATAGGTAACTATACTTAAACATTTGAGGCATTCTTAACATATTTTTACAGCTCCTTGGATACAGTTTACTAAATTAAGTTCAAAACAATCTGTACCATCACATCTCACATCAATTATTATTTAACTGGAACATAGTTTTGAACTGTCCGGAAAGCATCCGTTTTTATCTCTCTAAATTGTCTGCAAAATCATTGTTTTTGGGTGATTTATAAGGAAGAGAAAAAAACATATGGTAAATATTTTGATTCTGTAACCTCAAGATTTTTAGTGTATTATGAATTACGCTGCTAATCACACAAAATTTAAAGTTATGTTTGTAAACAACAGAAATGTAAACATTGAGGATGACTTTTTACAACCTCAAATTATATTTTCTAACTTTGTAACGATTAGATGTTTATTTCCACAGTATGATGAAAATAGTTGTTCATCACACGGATTGAAAGTGTCTTTTTGGAACTTATCGTATTTCTAAGCTCGGCGCGTACCAAAAATAGCCACTTTCGCTTCTAGTGATGAAAACTAATATTCTTTTCTGATTTTTTTTTTTTTTATCCAAGCATCACAATATTTTTACTGTAAAAAATAAGCTTCTCTTATGAAATTATAAACTGCTCTAATTGTTTAATAGTATTGAAAAGGAAAATTAAAAAACATTTTTATGAAGTACAACAAATTTACTAGGCAAACAATAGGGTATAAAACATTTCAGCACTTGTGCCGCAACTAGCTGTCTTCCAGCAGGCTTCACAATGGTATAAAACTAACATAATATACAAATGTCACAGAAATTGAGTAGTTTACAAAAGACTTGTGAATATTTTTTACATTTCAGTTAATGTGTCAATCTGAGTTTGTCCCTAAAGTGGATTTTAAGATTTAAGATAAGATAAGATCTTTATTTCCATTAGATATTCTTTTGAATACATTGGATATGTCAGGTTACAATATACAGGGTGAATTTTAAATGAGTTCCCCCCCTACTTTTTTTTACATTTCTTAAGATATCAACTTCGGACCACGTCAGATCATTGTAGTGTAGTAAGTACTTCATTTTGACTGAATAAACATTTTTGGCCGCCATCTTGGATCCGCCATATTGGATACAAGATTTTTTTTTCAAAAGTAAAGGTAGGGTTGTGACCCATTGTTTCAAACTAGAATTTTACGCTGATTACACTGCCTTAATTAGTTTTAAAAACTCTTGATCCGTTCTAAAGTTATGAGGACTTTTTATAACTTTGTTTTTAGCCCATTTTAACATTGTGCATTTACAAACTAAGACGATAATCTCAAAATAGTGCTAGATAAAGATAAGTATACACCACCATTCATTGTCGACCTGTTATTACTTGGTTATGACGGATTAATTTTTTTCGGCCGCCATCTTGGATCTGCCATTTTGAGATGTGATAAATTAATTTAAATATGAAGGTGGTGTTGTGACCCATCATTTTGAACTACATTTTTATGCTGAACTCAATGCCGCAATCCGTTTTTGTTTCTCAGGCTTTCTTGATGAAATATTAAAATTATCTTACTTAAATTTCCAATATTTCAAAAAACAAATATGAAAATTCAAAACGGATTGCGGCATTAAATTCAGCATAAAAAAGTAGTCTGAAATGATGGGTCACAACACCACCTTCATATTTAAATTAATTTATCACATTTCAAAATGGCAGATCCAAGATGGCGGCCAAAAAAATACATCCGTCATAACCAAGTGATAATAGGTCGACAATGAATGGTGGTGTATGCTTATCTTTATCTAGCACTATTTTCAGATTATGGTCTTAGTTTGTAAATGCACAATGTTAAAATGGGCTAAAAATAAAGTTATAAAAAATCCTCATAACTTTAGAACGGATCAAGATTTTTTTAAACTAATTGCGGCAGTGTAATCAGCGTAAAATTTTAGTTTGAAACAATGGGTCACAACCCTACCTTTACATTTGAAAAAAATTTTTGTATCCAATATGGCGGATCCAAGATGGCGGCCAAAAATGTTTATTCAGTCAAAATGAAGTACTTACTACACTACAATGATCTGACGTGGTCCGAAGTTGATATCTTAAGAAATGTAGAAAAAAGTAGGGGGGGAACTCATTTAAAATTCACCCTGTATAATCTATACAATGATAAATTGAACAAAGGGCTAGCTTTTATTTACAGCAGAACCCGGCTAATCCGACAAATCAGCTAGCCAAACTCCTGGCATAATCCGACTTTGCCATTCCCTATCGAGTACAATGTTATTGCAGGTCGCAGTAATATAGTAGGATCTCAATACCTCGAACCTTGATATCTCAAATTTGTTATAATCCCCCTGAAATCCTCATAAAAATAAGTCTGAAGGTTTTTAATATTTAACCTTAATGAGTCAAATTTTAACGACTTTCCGCCAGTAATATTTAACCTCTAACTCGAATATCCCCATTCTCGGCGTTCAATAACTCGAAGATTACCTTTATAAGTGTAAGGTCGTACAATGAGCCTCAATATCTCAAAGTGTCGCTGTGCAGTAAATCACCTGTGTTTTGTTTGATTCCTGTACGGTTAGCGGGGTTGTACTGTATAAGCTTATAAACTGATGATTGAATTTTAGCAATAGGCATAAAATATTCAAAAGTTCTTGGGCGAATTACCCTATTTCTAAGTAGGCCTAAACTTGTAAGGAAGGTAAGGGCACTGTGTGTAGCTTTAATATTTAAGTATGTATTGTTGATAACACATTTACCAATACATACGGAAAAATTGAAAGTCAAAAGATGTACACAGCTTTAATAGGATATCCTTCACTTAAAATAACAAATGTGGTAAATCTCTGTGTTGTAAATGAATCTTATGTAAAACATACCATTAAGTCAACAGAGGCAGTTGAAAATGGAAGATAAATAACAACTTTTTACAAATATTTTTTACTCTTGCCTCAAACTAAAGGTTTTAGGTTTTAACTTTAAGGCAAGATTATAAAAAAAAGCCCAAAACTAGAAACAAATCACTTTATTGTAGATATCATGAAAATAAAAATAATCCAGTCACAAGAAGTAAGTTTCTCAAGAATAAAAAACTAAATACATCTATGCTTAGGTGTTTAGAAAATGACTTGGATATCAGTTTCTTGAAATCTTGAAATATATTCAGAACATTATATTATGTAGCCTATAGAGATTAAATGGTTGAAACACACTAACTGTTTATTGATAATGGTTAAAAAAGTACAGTGCACTCCCGATTAACCGAGGTTGTTGGGACCGAGACTACCTCGGTTATCGAGAATCTCAAATAACACGGTGGTATCTTAGATTTTTAGGTTAGGGGTTGGGGTTCCACTGTCCACTACCACATTAGGAAATCAAAGACTTGTTAAGTATATGTTTGAATAATTATGCATAGTGAATACAAAATTATCAATAATTGGTATTTTAATAGAAAATGTATTTAAATTAGGCAGTGTTATTAAGGAAAACAACAACACTTTAAATACAGTATATTATTAAATGATTCCAAGCTAACAATTTACAGGATTAAATAAAAGCACAATAAGGTGGACCCCTACAGATTTTTTAAAGTATACAATTATTTTTGTTTGAGTTTGACTTAATCATGTCAATACTACAACACTGTAATGGCAAACACTGACAAAAGGCGATTCGAGCCGCCAAGACGGCGATGCCTGATCAGAAATGCTACTGCTTTTGTTGACGTTATGCAGAGGACTCGTCCAGCTAACCAAAAATGGTTAGGGGCCAAACTAGTAAGTACAATGCTAGTACTGTGTGTAATATTAATTTTTTAGATAATTGAGGATAATTTTTACATGGAAAATAATACCTATAATCATTATTTATGGTATTAATTTTAATCACAAATTACTTGCCATTTTTATTTTTACTTTACTTTTAACTTTTTTAACTTCTAAGAAACATCCCTATAAACATAATTATTGTTTACCTACTTGAAATAAAAAATATATATATTTAGGCCTAAAACGACCTCGGATAACCTGGGGGCTCGTAACTGGGACTTGGATAATCGAGAATGTACTGTAATAATCACCAACCCTTCAAAAATAAGAACTTACAAATTTTAAACTATTTTAGCTCAGTTAAAATCAAAATTTTATAACTCTCAAAAATTATTCTTAAGAACATTGTTAACATTTAATGTGATTAAAATTAAGAAAAACAAACACATTTTACCATAACAGAATTCACAGATGTACTACTGTACTGTAATTACATACAACAATTGTCAGATTTCTACAATCAACATTTTTACAATATTTTTTACAAAAGTTTCAAAACTTTACAATACACAAACTTAATACATTTACATTTATTTGCATGCATTTACGACAATTGGCAGTTCAATCCACCACTGATTATTGATCATCAATTGAAGATCACGTTTGTTGTAAATGACAAACATTTTCTCTTTCTCTTTTTTTGCAACAAATACTTGACTAAATCTAGATTCTGCAAACAATCCAACTATGTGCAGCCAGGAATAACTATTCAGCAAATTCGGAGGATGAGAGACGCTAAAGGCTAGCTTCCTAATAACTTCCTTATATACTTCTCTATCTTCTAGTTGAGTCATGCAGTAAGTTTCTAGAAGTTCAGCCAGAGTGTCAAAATCTATCAGATTTGTGTCAGCAGGCCATCCGGGAAGTTCTGGGAGTTTGAGGGATTTGATTGTGTCAGATATCTGAGATTTATATTGGTAGTCATACTGCTTGCCGCACATCAGTTCTGGACCTCCAAACTCACTTGGAGGAATGTGTGATTTAAATTCCTCTGCAAAATCAAAGTACTTTTCAAGCTTTCTACTCAGCAGCAGGTCTTCCAGTTTAGTCAAGAAAGTGTTATATACATTGATAACTACGTTGGGGTTTTCAACAGCATCCATTAGTGACGTACAGTACACTTGACTGGAGTCCACACTGAAAATAAAGTCTTCAATAGTCTCTCTGACCAGCGTCCCAAGAGGTCTTGCACAAATATCTTTTGCTACACTTACATGTTTTGTCAAAAAAGCCAGATTTTTCAAAAGACAGCTTGAATTAGTCCACTCATTCACTGACCAATAGGCTACATGACCTTGCTCTTGGAGTTCTTCTAGTTCCATTTTCAAGACTCTGTTAAATTTACTGCCGTTAATAGTCATAACCGATACAGCGAGTTCACTCCCCCTAGCCTGTTTGGTCACTAAGCATCGTAGTCTGTCCAAGCAAGACTTTTCTGATTCAAATCCATCCGCTACAACAAAAACCAATGCGTCCATTCCTTTCAAGTGACTAGAAGACAGTAAATCATCCCATACATGAACAGTTATATGAACAGGAATCTGTAGTGAGGTCATTAAAGACTCTACAGAACCTAGCTGAGCACCAGTCTTACTGTAAAAGGTTTCTCTACAACATCTTCTCATCATTTGGTTGAAAACAGAATATATGGGAGTAGATCTGTCTTTCCAGGGTAGTGACATAGCTAATTTCCAGAACACTGGACGTACAGATCCCATGTCCATGGTTTTAGCGACAGATTTAGCTAATAACTCTGCTAACTCTTTGCCGATATAAATGCAAGAATTATTGACGCCGTATTTCAATAAATGAGAAAGAATATTATCTAAATTTTGTCTATCTTTGGCTCGTTGAAAAACACCAGTAGTAGGGATGGATTTCATTCTGCCCCACAGTCGCAGATGATCTTCAACTGATAACTGTTGTAACATGGGAAAATCAGCTCTCTTCTTTTTGAGTTTCTCAATACGAGTTTTCCAGAGTCTTAAATACTTCTTGGCATTTTTCGCTTTCATTCTTTCACTCAAATCTTTCCTCAATTTGTCTAATTCTTTCTGTTTTTCATCTCTTTTTTTCCTCTCAAGTTCCGCCCTCTTGGCTTCTTCAATTCTCAATCTTTCTTCCTCCAATAGTTTTCTTTCTAATATTTCTTGTTCTTGTTTCATGGCTATTTTTGTACTATCTTGGTGTTTTTCCAAGGATTTTTTAACTGGGAATCCTACAAGTGTTTTAACTTCACTCTCAGCAAGAGGTTTAGTTTCACTTTGAAACATTGAAAATGCTTTAATCTTCCCTGAATGATAGTCAACATGAGCTGAAACTGGCTGGATATGTGTTTTACTAACAACTGGGGATTTTTCAGAGGTTTTAGATAATAAGTGGCCTGATATTATAGGTTTTGAAGTTAAAGAAAATTGAAAGTTAGTTTCTTTTTGTAACTTCTGACTATTATTTGCTGCTGAAAAAATGTTTGACGGCTGGTTTACACTTCCTTGGTGAAAAGTACTGTTATTGTTCACAGCCATAACAGGCATTGTTGGTGGGCTAGAAAATGCTTGCAGGTTACCGAAGAGTGATTTTCCTGCAGGATCAAAACCTGCAAACTGTAGAGGTTTGATGGTTTCTTCTTTGGCTTTGACCTCAAAATCTTCATCACAAATCATCTCTTCAAATGTGTCTTCCTGCATGTCAAAAGGTTCAGATTGATCTTCATCGTAAAATGATTTATCGGATTCAGCATCAACTTTTGTGCCAAACTCAAACTTAGAGGAGTGAAATTCAGTTAAATTGGTTTCAAATAACTTTTTGCTTGATGGTGTATCAAGTTTTTTACCTAATCTTGAAAAAACACTTTGGCTGAAAACTGGTTCCTGCGTCACTTTGGGACTAAGAGAGAATTTAAATGGCTGGTTTTGGCTCAAAGTTTCAGTTTTGACATCCGGGACACTAGTGTCAGTTTCATCACAAGGCGAATCATATGAACTGTAAAATTCATCTGGAGCAGACTGAATTGGTTCTCTCAAATTCCCCTCATCGTCAAAACTTGAGTGGACTTGATGAGGAATGTATACAGGAAGAGGTTGGTTTTCCCCTACTATAGCATTGGCAATAGGCAATCTCTTGTCTACAATGAGGTATGATGACGTTGAAATATACTCATCCTCAATATCATCTTCTTCAAAATCAATTTTCTTGTCCAACTGACTCTCAATTTTCTCACAAAATTGTATAACATTCTTTCGTGAATCAAATTTAAGACAATCTACTAGAAATGAGGTAGTTAAACTAACATTTCTATTGGGATGAGAATATGCTTTCAACATCATTTTCAGAGCCTTGGTCCTGACTTGATCAAAATGTCTTTGTAATAAACAAGCTTCAAGGTAGGAGGCTTTTTTGACCAGACCAAAATATTTGGAATACATGTTGTTAAGGAAAGCCATGTAAACTTCAATGGCGAATTGGACTTTAGAAGAAAACTGAATTTCAGGTGCATACTGTTGATATTCCCAAAATACATCACCAACGGTTAGTTTTAATAAAATCAAATACCCATGAAATTCTGGTTCATTGGGGCATTTAACATTATGTTTTGCCAAATCTTCGTAAAGATGTTTTAAGGTCTGTAAACAATCTATGAGATTGTTTGTGTTGATCTTATCATCAAAACCACTTGAAACTTCAAGGCCCCACATAAGATCATAACAGCAAATGTGAAAACGAGCACATTGTTCAATGATCGTAACAGTTTCTAAGTCACACAACTGTTGAAGAGTTATGTCCTTGCGAATACTTCTCAGACGATTCCAGCAAAAGCTGAACCAAACAGATTTGTTTTCATTTGGATTATCTATTTGGTTAATGATGTTTGTAATAAGATAGCTCATTGTCATTGACAACACGGGTGCTGGGCGTAGTTCATGAGGCAATGGTACGTTCTGATCAGCTGAACTCCTGGAGTACTCTTTAATGGCTCTATTCTCATCCATTTCGTTAGTTCCAGGTAAGCTTTCATAAACTGCTATTTGATGCCCAATTTGGCGAATAATTCTTTCCCTTTCAGGACACATATCAGGGCACGTACCTTTGATAGAAACTGCTGTCTTTATATCAGAATCTTTGACGGTTTGTTGTCTGATTAATTTATCCCTTTCATCTAACATGGAGAGTTTATGTTTTAAATCTAATGATTCAGGTACTGCAACAGTTGGATTACCAACTTCTTCAATCGTTGATGTCTTCTTGAGCCCAGCAGACATTAACCCTTCTTTCTTCAGTAACTTCCGTTTAGATGCTAGCACTTTTTTCATTGCGATTTTGGGTTGAGACTTCCTAACCAAAACAGAAGACTTGTCACTTTCTGAATCATCTGTCTGGTCCATAACGTTAGTTTTAATTAATGAGCCTAATCTTTTCTTGATCATTAATAAGTTTGCCTGTGGTTTTATCAATTCCTTGACCAGTTTCTTCCTAGACACAGCAGCCACTTTTTCAACTCCAAAACACTCCTTATCATCATCACTGTAAAGATCATCAACATCAATTACGTCTTCTTTATCTGTTGCCCTAGGGTCTGATCTTGTTTCGGTCGTTTCTAATGCATTTTCAAACCACAGAATTTTCAAAGGTTTATTTTCATAGATCTTACCATGAATCTTTGCAGCTTTAGCTTCAGCATGGGAGGCAAAAACCACCACACCACTTTTATTATCTTTATTCACATTTGTCCCTTGAACCTCACCAAATTTGGAAAAATAAGCGTGAAGATTTCTTCGGCTACTCAACTTCTTGGGTAGGTGGGGAAGAGAGAGTGTACGTTTCCAAGTTTCACTCATTTTGAAGATCTTCCAATTGTGACTGCAGTCCTCTTCATGCAACTGCACAAACAAACCAAACTCTTTATGTTGAAACATATTTTACTAAACGTGAAAAATTAATAATAACTTGAATGGGAAAATAGTAAAACAATTCAATGAAAAGCCATAAATTTGACAACACAAGTAGAAGTAATTTTTCATACTTATGCAAAACCAAAAGCAACATCTCAAGGGTTATTTATGGTTTGAACATCAAAGTTACACATTTGGGCATATCCACACATCAAACTATTCAGGGAATGCATGTTTTAACCATTACCTTTCATTAAGACACATGTAAACTTATAGAAAATCAGTGTATCACGGTCATCTTTGCTAGGGCCTAGGGTTACACATGAGCAATAGGTGCACATACGAGTAGTTTCTTAGCATGGCGTAGGGTCCTCAAAGACATATGTAGCAGTGCACTTAAGAGCACAGCTGTAACAACACTGCAGCAATGTCGCCTTCCACCACAGTCTGCTTCAACGACTGTTTTCAGTCCGCTGCCTAGTGCTTAGCAGTTGAAGTTTTCCTAGCCCTGCATACTGTGGAGTTTTCAGAGCTATAATAGCTTTCAAAGAAGCATGTTTTCGTAGGTTTTTCGTCAGAGCACACTGCACGACTCGCCTGAGAGCAGTCAGGTGCCAATGCCAACTGCAGAGAGCAATTGTGGAGTGTTTTACGTAGTTATTTGAGTAAATCTGTGGTTTAATAAAACAATCCAGGCCGAGTGTGAGAAAATCCAAGTAATGCGTAGCCATTTGAAGGGATCATTAAGTCTCAGACTGCTCTACCGAAATAAGAGCGAATTTGTTATTTGTTTTTTGTGTAATCTTTAAAATTAACTGTTAACACACTTTTTCTCAGACCGATCATTCAAAACAAAACCATAAAATTACACTGTAACAGTATTGTGAAAGTAACATTTGTTAGACTAAACCTATTATATTCTATTCTTAGGTGATATTACGTTTACCGTTTCTGCTCTTTTACACATCAGGGTAAAAATGTACACAAATATTCACAACAAGAACTACAAAATTATGAGTACCGGTACTTAAATCTAAAATAAAATTAACTAGGCTTATAGGCCTAACATAATGTTTATGGTAATTTATATTGAGGCCGGGAATACATTTTGGGCTGTAGGGATCCAGAAGAAATGTACAGTAGACTCCCTCTTATCCGGACAACTTTTAACCGGACATCGGTTTAACCCAACTACACTTGGGGGAAATGACATCTCTTTAACCGGACAATTGTTATCAGCACATCGGTTTAACCGGACTAGATCGGCAGGAAGTGGGCGGTACTGAAACGACTGTTCTCTTGGGAAAGATTTGAGACCAGTGACCACGTGTCTAAATACGTAATAATCATTATTGGCTTATACGGTATACCGTACATTTAAACGGTCCGTTTTAACAAGTTTTTGGGACGTCGGTTTAACCAGAAAAACCGTTATCCGGACTGGCCTTGGTCCTGAGGAGTCTGGATAAGAGGGAGTCTACTGTATAGGCCTACGCATTGTATGTTATTGACCAAAATTGGACAGAATCTTTAATTTTAAAGAGTTAAAATTATGCTAGCAGGTACTTTTTATAAATACTACATACCTATAAGTTATGGATGGTCCACAAATGCATTTTATTATAAACGTGCCTTAAATCCACATTTTCTCATCATATTACTCTTCACTCGTGATCCTAGAACAAAATCAACAACTCAGCACAGGTTTCACAAGTAACGTATTCAATAAGGCATAATTTAATTTAGAAAATATAGATTACCTTTAAATATCACACACCACTAAGTTACACTAAGCTTAATACGATTACAGTATCGACCTCATTATAAACACACTACATAGACCTCAATATACCCTATGGGACACGCTCATGCTCAATCTTCCAAAAGTCAATCAATCTTCCTAAAGATCATCAAGCTATGCCCTCAACAGTGGTAGCCTATCTCTTAGGCTTCTCAGGGGTGGCAGCGAGGTGGCTTCGACTTCTTCCACGGCTCCCCATCTTCATGTAAGAGGAGTCTATCTGGTGTAGTGTCAGTGGAAAGTTAGGAGGGGCCTTTAAAAGGCCACAAAGTGTTTCTTAAGTGCAGCATAAATAACGGATTAGGGCAAAGTTGATTTGTTGAATATGAATATTTTAAGCCAAGATTTACAAAAAATACTCCATTTTACTGTGCTGCTGTGTGGCAAGATTAGGGTAGTTTAGTTCAGCTTAGCTTGTTCAAACAAAAGTTAATGCCTGTAAAAAAAAGAGTAGGTGTCCTCTTTATTTCCACCATCGGTCACACATAATTAATTACGGTACTAGAAGGGCCGCTATGTATCTAATTAATAAGTTAGGCTACAGTTAAATTTACGTATGGTTTTTATGTCTTTGTTATGATTGATTTGACTGTTATAATATTTTTAAACATTCTAACTTATGACTACATTTTTTACATCGTATTTAGAATAGACCTTAGTTAACTTAAGAGGCCTAACTAACTTACTTAGCCTAAGAATCTAATTTATCTTAGGCCTACAGTAGGCCTAATTCTTTAACAAAAAATGTCTTTGAATGACAATGTTTTATGGTAATTTTCCAAAGAACGGGAACGGGGTCGCAAAAAAAAAAAATTGAAAATTCTTCTTTATTGAGGTGAACTTAGGACCTCTTGGCACAGAAAACGTACTACTATAACTAGTGATGTAAAATACCCCGGTATTTAAAACTCGGGGTAAATACCCTGGGTATTTACCCGGGTAAGTACCCAAAATCCATAAATACCCGGGTATTTTGGGTATTTATGAAATCGATTGAAATTCATTTATATTTACCCCTTAATATGTTATTGTTATCATTACATGATTAATAAAGGATAGTATATAACACCTTTTACAGTAACTTCAAGCTTTGCTAGTAGGCTTCCTTTTATTTAATGATTTAGCACTTTTTTATTATAAATAAGCATGGGGTTTCGTGTCTTAAATCGAGTAACATCAGTTATATTTAACTTACTAAAAAATAGTAGCCTATATTAAAAAAGGCTGTAGCTATTTCAATTTTTATCATTTTATAAATTTATAACCAATTAAATAACATAAACAAAATTATTTTGATTTATAAATATCCAGGAATTGTTGAAAGATTTATTGTGCTATAGATTCAAATGTTTTGTATCACAAGTTTATGAAATTAGTTTTTTTATTTTGATACCATTAATACCAACAAAAGATCTAGAACAAAAATATTATTAAATCCTGCCATCCTACAGATTTAATTTTAATTATTTTCTTAAGTTGTTTACACATAGGCCACTACTAGGTTACATTTTCCTGTCTTTCTAAATAATAATTATTACTTTACAAATTATTTTTCTTCACTTTCAATAAAATAAATTCATCTATCTAGCATAGAAATTAAAAAATCACAAGTAGTCAGGACCAATGCAACCATGGGACCAGGGTATTTATGCCGATTATGCTTTATGCTCAGACCTGGGTATTTATGGCGATTATACCGAGAAGTAAAATGCTAGTAGTGACCATATGAAATTTTGTTCAACACATTTTATCATCATTTTACTATCCTTTCAGGGTAATAATTGCAAAAAAACATCTCAATCTTCTCTAACTATAATAAAAATTATAAATACCCAGTTTTTGGGTATTTACCCAGGCCTGGGGTAAATACCCAGGTAAATACCCAATTTATATTTACCTACCCACTGGGTATTTACCCGGCCCACATCACTAACTATAACCCAGAATGCCAACCGCATGGTAAAAAGCATTAAGCGGTTTGAGAGAGCTTTGCCTGTCAATCCGTAGGCAGCGCCACCAGCGTTGCCATGCAATAGCTCTTGGTCCTTTCTTACAGTTAATCTCTGTACACTCCCCACTCCCCAACCTGCAGACTGTAAAATTCCCACTCCCCAGAGCCAGAAGCCTAACTTACCTGCATTTAACCCTTTGCGGTTGTATGGCGAGTATAGGTTGCCATCGCCGCCCGCCATTTTCCCCGACTGCTTGAAAATGGCGACCTATAAGTTACTAAAAAAAAAAATAAAAAATCTAAATGTTTTTCTTTGTGGTCGAATGGTCTCAAATGGCGACCTCACCGAGAAATGAAAAAAAAAAATCGGCCTCAAAGGGTTATTAAAAAATGTATTAATTCAGCACTGGTAGGCAGGTTTGAGTTAGAGAAGGGGTTGCCCTTAAAGCTTGTGAAGAGAAAGCGATCCGTGTGTGCACGAAAAAATAGCGACAGAAAAAGGTTTTTGCTTGTTAGCCGGGTCCGCGGAATTGGCTAACTCTGGAACTCACTAACCCCATGTTAAACGCCCTATCTTCAAATTTGGTCGATGAGAGGAACTCGCTAACTTGTTCGGTTTCAGAATTGGCTAACTCCGGAACCCGCTAACCCGCCCTGTTAAGAAACTGTGCCCTACCGAGGTACAAACTAAGCTTAATTAACAGGTTCGCTGCTGAAAACCTTTAAACAAGTGCTCGCAAACTGAGGCAAGGCACAGGCGGAGCCCCGGCGCGCTCGGAATCAGCGATCGCAATTGTCATTCAATTCTCTCGGTAAGACCAATCACAATAGAGCAGTGGAGATTGTTCTGCGTTACCCCGAAAGTGGACTTAAATTAGTTCACTGAAACACCCAAAGGTAGCAGCACTGCCTAGGCTACCTAATAACTAGCGTTAAAATAGCGTAAAAATAACTAGTGTTTTTGTAATATTAATAGCTCAATATAGAGAAAATCCCCAGAACCGGAAAAAAAAACATTGCCAGAAGGGTTTTTACGAGAATGTTTAGTACCAACCTACACCAAAATATAGCTTGTATTCCAAGCTACAGCCTGGCAACAATAACAGCGTCCCCGGCCGAGTTCTGGGCTCAGATAGACACATTACTGCTATAGCAGTTAGGCCGTGTGCAGTGCTAAGTTAAGTTAGTGTCACACTACTGCTTTATCAGTAGGCTGCAGCGAACTTGTTAACCTCCAGGAAACAAGTTCGTAAATTGTAACTCCACAGTGCACTGTAAGAGTGGCAGGTTTATTAAAAAACCGGTACTTATTTAGGACACAGACCCCAGCTTAAACGTTCTAAAATAACTTTTAAACTATTCTAGGACATCAATACTACAACTTTATTAAAGAATTTTTTGGCGCCGAGCCCCCTTTTATTTTTAATTAAATATTTAAACAATAATCCCAACTCACTAGGGGGCCGGTGGGAATTCGGGGTTTTGGGTGGGGGAGATAAAACGTGGTTAATTATGGGGAGAAAAGGGTAATTCAACGGGTAAAAGGGTAATTTATAGGTAATTACCCAGCAAGAATGGGAAATTCGTCTGTATAAATGGGTACTTTCCTTTGCCGCCGACGACGACGAGCAACGAGCAGAGCTGGCAGTGACAGGAAGAAGACCATCAGAATTGTATTGTACCATAAATAAAAACAATAACAAAGTGAAAATAAAGTTGTTTGTTTATTTTATCCTATATATTTAGTCAAAAAATGGCTTAACAAATATTTAAACAGGTCAATAAAAGTGGTGTAACATCTATCCCCTGTGTGAATAGCCTATAACGATATCCTCTAAAAACACAAAGTTAAGTCTTTAGTCTTCTTTTGTTTGAATATTTATAGTTTTATTTATTCAAGTTCTTAAAAAAACGTACACCGATCGTGGGTGCATTTTTACATTCAAAACACCAATAAAATACCATAATATATAATCATATATTAGGTATATATTAGGTATATATTAGGTATTAGGATTATATATAGGTATATAATCATATCATAACCAATTTCCATGTTTGTTTACATTGAAAATAAAAATATTTTTGTAACGATATATCGAACCGAATCTGTATCGATATTTCTGCAGACATATGTTACGAATACATAGAGAAAACAAACACCTCAAGGAGTATGGAATTAATAATTAAATAAACATATCTCTGGAATTAACCAACACTTAAGTTGTTAGTCGTTTATCGTGTTTACAGTAGTTCATGTTGGTGACATTGGGTGCACTGGTGTCTACTATCTGATTTATTAATAGATTTCTTTATTTATTGGCAAATATTTACATTGGGATAATCAATTCTTATTTATATATACGGTGATCTAAGTTGAGCCCAGGTTTGTATACTAAGAGGTAATATTGTTTTATATACATTGAAATTGTATTCTTTTTTCTTTTATTTTGACATTGGTGACTTTTGTCTATGCATTGTATATATATGTTTATGGACAATAAATGATTTGATTTGATTTGATTTGATTTGATTTGATTTGTACATGACCTGGGTTGGATGATTATTTGGTACTAGCGCGGGGGTACGATCAACATAATAATAGGGCTATCAAACAAAATACACAAATCCGTACACCTTAACCCTAGCAGTGGCCAATGTTAGAAGTGGGGAATGGCCAACCCATTTTGGCGATTTTGCAGACCTTTTTTTAAAAATCTGTCAAAATTACAAATATGGACTCAACCTATCAATGTTTGTATTCATTTTATTCAGAAAAAGCAGGAGAATCTGAATATATAAATAAAAATTGAATCTGAGTTGGTAACTTTTTTGAAAAATAAAAAAAATCATAAAAAATTCAAAAATTCTGATTGAAATTTCAAAAGTAAAGTCTTGTTATTACTACAGTATAATTTTCAGACCAAAACCATTATATACATTTTGTAGTAAATTCAATTCCCTACATAGAAATGTATAACACATGGGGGAAATATTTTTTTTTACAAATGTTATGTAAGAAAATGAAGAAAATTCAAATTTTGTCGCATAAGACGAATAATTAGTAACTCGGAGATAACTCATTTAAGGTAATTAGTGATAATAATATAGTACACATATTCTTGTAGGTTATAAACTAAGGAATACAAATATGTCACATTGTAGGCAGTAAAAAAATTTTGATTACCCGTTTATGATAAAAAAAACTAAAAATTTACAGTTTACATAGAAAAAAATTCAAAGACATTTTTGTAAAAAAATTTTGTACAGATTTTTGTAGGCCAAACATATTATAAAAATGTTATAGGCTAGTACATTCAATTCTCTTTATAGAAATGTATAACACATGGGGAAAATATTTTTATTTACACGTGTTATGTAAGAAAATACGAAAAATCGCAAGGTTTGTCACGTAAGACGAATAATTAGTAGGCCTAACTCGGAGATAGCTCATGTAAGGTAATTAGTGATAGTAATATAGTACACATATTCTTGTAAGTTATAAACTAAGGAATACAAATATGTCACATTGTAGGCAGTAAAAAATTCCTGATTACCCGTTTATGATACAAAAAAACTAAAGATTTGCCGTTTATGTAAAAAGAAATTCAGATATTAGACTTTCCAGTAGGCTTATATTCATGCATAAAGATTACTGTTAGTCCCAAAACACAAAAACATTACTAAAAAAAAAACACTACATAACTACAAAATCCGAAATTAGAATGAATCCCAAGATATTCGCCGAACAATATTTACTTTCAAAACGTAAGTCAGCTGATCCGCACAAAACAAACAGAGTAACTTGGTCAGATGGCAATTTTCTTTTGTTGCTGACAGAACACAGAAATTATACAGTGATCAGGGCTGCCATTTCTCAACACTAAATTATTCTACGTTTCCTACACTACAAAAGGATATTATATTTGAATAGTTATAAATAATCCATTATATATATATTTCGATTTTAGAAATGGTCCCGGCGGGACCATTGGCCATTTGTTAATTTTTGTAAAATTACGTGTTTTCAAAAAATCATACGTTCTTTGCTATCGATGTATTGATCAAATAATCTATGCCAAAATATTCAGCAACTCTTCTGCTATCTGGTGGTATAACTCGCATCCAGATAGGAACAAAACTAACCTCGCTATGATTTTCTAAACTTCATGTGTTTAGCGCTTGCGCAACACTACAAGTGGAAGTAGATTCGCGCGGAAATTTTCATTCAAATTTAAATTGCAATTGTATTGACATATTGATGCTAGAAGGTTCGTTTATATAATAAAATGAAAGTTTAGAATGTCATCTTTCGAATGGTATAAAAATTATCCACATTAAATATAATTATCAATTAGTTTTTTGCGTTAGAAAATGTTTGGACATAAATGGTCCCCGGGACCATGGCCATTCTAAGGGTGCACGGTGAAATGGTCCCGCCGGGACCATTGGCCACTGCTAGGGTTAAATAATATATAATTCCAGGGTACTCTGGTTTGAATTATTTACCTTATTTATTACAACAGTAGCCCTAAAAAGCAAACAAAACTAAAAAAAAAAAAAAAATTAAATAAGTTATAGGCCTACCATAACACCTGCATTGGCGCCGTATATCCGGCGTTGCCATTTCGGCCGCGGCCGTTCGCGCCGTATATCCGGCGTTTGCCAGCGCTAGGGTTAAGCTGGGGTCTGGGTCCTAAATTTTTACCAAAAAACCCCATTGGCTAACTTTAGCCTAGGCCTAGTGTGCTAGCCCATCAAACTAACTTACCTAGCCTGATAGCCTACCTTATTTCATTCTAGGCTATATCATAGATTATCAGCGGAACTGTAGCCATTAAACAAAATTTCTAATCCATCACTAATAAACTAATGGCCTAGTTTATGAAAGCTACCATCACTTAAGAACCCAAGTTAGGACAATAACTTAGGACAAGGCCAAGTTAGGTTAGGTATAATGGAAAATATTTGGCCTAGGCTAATAAGGATAGGCGTTTTATTAACAAAGGGGTATATAAAATCTATACGATTTGCTTACTTTAAAATAAATAGCACTGTCTAGTTCCTGTCACAACAAAAGCATCTTTACTTAGCCTAGGCCTACTTACGATTACATACCCAACTTGAAGCTGAAGCTCTGCACATGTTCGTTACAATCGCCGTGATCAACTCCCACTGATAAAAAGCCCAAACTAGACCCTACTTATATGAATGGAAATAAACAACGTATTGATCTTGGCAAATAAGTTTAGTAGGACTTAAACCTTGTAGCATGTATTTAACACTTAGTTTGTTGGTAGAACATTCATAACAAAACAAACACCGAGGCAGCCATTGTTAAATCTGTGTTGTAAATTGTTTGTAAAATCAAAATCGTTCATTCTTTTTGTTCTCCCGTAGACAGTATTCAGTCCAATTTTTGTGGGGTCCCATAGTTCATAATCCCACAGTGCCTAATTCAAATTTTTCCTCACAGTGCATAATTGTTATGCACCATAAGATTAGGCACTGTGGGATTGTGTACTATGCGACAGTTTCACTATAGGATTATGCACAATAAAACATTCTGCCTTCTAACAGTGCATAATCGTAAATTTTTCTTTAAGTGCCTAATTCAAATTTTGTGCATAACCATGGCCACATTTGACTCCAGGGGCCCATTTCATAATAAACTACAAGTTGCAACTTGTAACTTGTAATTTCCATTAGATTTGCATTGGGCGATCAGCTGATTTACTAATAATATTAGTTTGTACCATAGTATGTACTTTATTATGAAATGGGCCCCAGGCCACGACCTTCGAAGTGGCAACGTCGCAAGTAGGGTTGTTACCACGATTTTTTCTAGTAATCGTGGGTTGTTACCATGGTTGTTACAGCAGTTTTGTTTGGAAGCTGCTAATGGTATTTTGTGTATTTATTTAAAAATTTGAAAGCTAGATTACCAGTCTGTGAAAATATTCTATTCCACTATGAAAATAGCCCACCTCTAATCAGGTTCTTGTTCTTGTTGTCTGTTCCATTGTAATCCACAATCGAATCGTAAACGTATCGTATCGTTTCGTATCGTAATCGTCACGATTACTAGAAAAATACCGGTATGGATCATAAACTTAAACAAATGACGTTTTCGGCCCGAAAATAAACATAATTTAACATTGCTTAAATGGAACTGCCAAATCATATGTTCAATGATATTTGTATAGGATTCGGGCCAACAACGTCATTTTGTTTATGTTTATGATCCATACCGGTATTTTTCTAGTAATCGTGGTAATCGTATGTGAACACTATGTGAATGAGCTGCTCTTCTTCTTCTTCTGTCATCGTCGTGATAGGAGGGTCCAGAATCGCCAGAATCCAATCCAGATCTATTATTTTTGTTCTCAGTTCTGTAGTATTTTTTAGTAGCCTAGATCTTTTTACAGACAATTTTGGAGAGTATCAGAAGTTATCAAATAAGCCCATATATTTATCTAAGTTGTACTTAATTTCGTGATGTACCGGTAATTTGTTATGCTGTCAGTTCACCATAAGCGTCGAATTGTTGCACCATCAAGACTAGGCTAATAGGGATAAGGGATTGGAGATTGGAGTTCGCATAGGCTATCGCCTTTTAACAAGGCCTACAGTTGGTGATTATATTCAACTTAAGTTCAAATTATAGTCACAAATAAACCTGCTAAAGTTAGTGGAGGATAAATACTTAACGAGTTAAGTTTGTTTAGAAGCTCAGAACTAGCATTCTAGGCCTACCATTCCATTAAAAATGCCCAACATTTCTGGAGCTAGCCTCAATGGCAATGCAGGCAACAGCTCATTATTCAACAGTTTAGATGACGACGAGGAATCATTTGTTGTCCTAGAAAGATCAACTGCAAATGACGTTAGTTTACTTGCGGAAGTCGCTCCTCGTATCCAGCCAACAACTCCGCAGAATGGACCCAGTTGTTCTTTTCCTGCCTTTATGTCAACATCAACCAGCACTTACTTGTCCACAGGAATGAATACCAGCGCAATTTCAAATCAGGTAGGCCTAGCCTATTTAGGTTGACGTAACTTTAGGTACTGTAGCCTAATGTTTGATCACTTCAGTTTAGAACGGACTGTCTAACATTTTACGTATGTTTGGTAAATATTCATATTTATTTACTTATATATAGGCTTACCTCCGTCAGTAGTCCAAAATTATTGGATTATTAACTTAATTTTGGACTACTGACGGAGGTAAGCCTATATAAGTCATTTTTCGTAGTCAAGGGGCTATCAAAATGAATAATATTTGTTTATTTATTGAACTGGCCAGTTGTGATCTTCAATCTTTTAAGTTATCCCATTTGGCTGTACATTAGGATTTTAGGCTAGTGCATGAATACTAGAACAAAACCGTTATGGCTTGTTAACATTTAAACAAATGCTGTTGCTTCCGAATACTATAAGTTACTTAATGGTATTAACATATGGTTTAGACACTAAACATTTTTTATTTAACTTAAGCAATGTTAAATAGCCAAATTAGGACTTAACATGTTACTTTTGGGCCAGTAACACCAATTGTTTAGTCTACCGTTAAGATCCATCCCGGGTCTGTTCTAGTATGTGTGTGCTAGTGGAAGCATAAACACCTTGGTGTGGATGGATAAGTTATCCCAATTTTGAGGTAGTTAATCTGTTCTACGTTATCAAATGGTCTAGGCCTAAACTCAACAACCAAGCAATAAGTTTAAGGTTCTTCTGAGCTGGTCAGATGTAAACTTAATTTAAAATATAGTAGCCTAATGCATTTTTGGGAGGGAAAGAGACAGTTTAATATAGCCTAGTTTCATCTATGTGCATTTTTAAACCTAGGCCTAAGTTATATCACTGAAAGAAAAAAAAATCAAACAAGCCTTCTAATCCCATAAAAATAAATTAGGTATGGACATTGATAGACATTTTCATGTTTGTTAATGAAGTGACTGAACATAGGCCTAAACATCTTTCAGGTCCAGATTGATCCAATGGCAATGCCATTTGACACCACACACATTTCTGTAAGTGTCGAAGAAATCGACAAGCGGTTGCAGGAAGTCCTTCATGAAAATATTAACCTGAAGGGTAAGTAACAATTAGCCTAACTTAAAACTAGTTTAAAGTTATAAAATGTGTAAACTGAAAAAAATGAAGGTTAAAAACAACACTGTGATGGATAGTTCTGTCGTGTCCGCCGTGTAACCTGTGTCGGTTTGTCCCGTATTCAATGTGGCCGGCCTATCGTAAATGTATTTGTAACTGTTATTTATGTAAAATGTGTAAATTTTATGTGTCGTCAACCTGCATGTATACATTGATGAAGACTTACGTCGGATATTTGACCATATTCAATTGATGTTTTAAATAAGGATTTGATAATGGGACTTTGTTCCCGAAACTAGTCATCCAGCATTGACTAAGTTAAGACTGAAGACGGAATAAGGTACGTAACCTATTATATTATATTCTATATTCTTGAGTGTGGCAGATTGCGTGAAAATATAATAAATATATCTATGGTTCTTACCGTCAACGCAATCAGGGGTAGTATTACACTACGGCCGTTTCGGAGATGACTCCATCGTCAGGTGCGTAGTGGTACACTAAACTATAGTCTTGTCACATTTAACACGAACATTCTTCATTTGCATTGCGTCAGGTGTTGAATAAATAATACACATATATATACAGGACGGACACACGAAAACACGAATACACGAAAACATTTAGAGCGCGTGCACGGCTTGAAAACTGACGACCGACTGTTCAATCCTGGTCACTGCAGGAGTTACGTGGATGACTGGAACAGCTGATAACACGGTGTGCCAACCTTATCTACTCAAATTATTTCTTTCCTGTTTGATTTCTATTATTCTCTCAAAAATTGGATTGGCTGCTGAATTTGTTTGGGAGTTAATTACTAAGTGTTAATTTACTAAGAGTTAATTTATTCGTGTTTTCGTGTGTCCGTCCTGTATATATATGTGTATTATTTATTCAACACCTGACGCAATGCAAATGAAGAATGTTCGTGTTAAATGTGACAAGACTATAGTTTAGTGTACCACTACGCACCTGACGATGGAGTCATCTCCGAAACGGCCGTAGTGTAATACTACCCCTGATTGCGTTGACGGTAAGAACCATAGATATATTTATTATATTATATTCGATTATCAGTCTTGGTGGCAAAGGTGTTTAAACTACTGTTACAGTATTGTTGTCTGCATGAAAGAATATTTTGTTCTTGTTGCTTAGAATCTATAGTAGGCTATTGTTATTTTTTCTGCTAGTTATTTAGGTACTTTCCTGTTAAAGGGAACATTCATTATTATCGATCTGATTTCTTTTGATATATCCATATTTTTGTTTTCCCTTACGATCCATAACTTGGTTTAATATCTTCAAACAAATTTAAATTACAAATTGAACATGATCTTGTTTAGGAAAAAATAGTAGGGTATATTATGTGGATCGAAATAAAGCTAATAGAAATAAAACTATTCTAAACTAACCAGATTTGCTGTACGGTACCATTTCTAAATTTTGTTTGATAACAGAAAAGGCATGTGAGTAATATGAAACGGGGTTTGGCAATGTTACAGCAAGTTTGGTTGGTTAGGTAAGGTTAGTTTAGAACAGTTTCATTTGAATATAATATTTTTTAATTGTTTGTACTGTTGATACTGAACAATATACTTCGTAGTTGTCAGCTGACATCTCATTCATTAATAATCAGATCAAAAAATAGAATATCGATTTATCAATAATAATGAATGTTCCCTTTAACAGAAAAGTAGGTACCGTTATTTATAATAAATCATTAAGTTTATCTTGAGGTTATCCTTAGATCATGTCTTGTTCTGGAAATCTTGCTGTCTCCAGTTTTTTTAGCGAATTTCCCTATAGGGAAGTAGCTATTACCGTAGGTCTCATGGTAAGACCTAAGCCCGGGACCGATTTACTTTTTCATTTTGATGTCCCCAGAGGCCAAAAACACCATTCGTTCAAATTTTTATATATCTATATATAGATATATATATATATATATATATATGTGTCCATCCGCACGATAACTTGAGTAATTTTTGTCCGATTTTGATAAAATTTGGTTTAAAGGTGTAAGGCGGGATAAACTTGAATGAGTTCGCGAACTAGCATGATCGGACTAGGGGAACGGGGGTTTATGGGGGGTTTTATGGGGTAAAAATAGGTTTTTCCCATTTTTGACCCTAAAAACACAAAATTTCACAATTTCTTTTCAAACCATTTTGTAGAGCTTAAAAAAACAAATAATTTAGTATGTTGAAGCGTTATTATGCGCCTAATTGTTACGGAGAAAATTCAAAAAAATTGTAATTTTAAAATTCCCATGTTATTCTTATGGAGAATAAGTCAACTGTTGTAGTTTGCTTGTTTATGAACATATTTTGATTGATTTTGGAAAATAGTTTTATTTATTACTAAACTATTATTATTTTATAAAACATCTTTTTTACCCTCCCTGTTGCAGCAAACCTAAGTACTCATTCCGTTAAACTAATTCTATTTAAATAGGAAATAAATGTGCTATTTTTATGGAGGCATTTTAGTGTAAATCCAATCAGGTTAATGGAAATTCGCTTAGTCTGCAGGTTTGCTGCGGCGGGGGTATTTTCTTTACCGACCAGTTATTTGTCACAAAGACATTCTGTATTTCCCTGTAAAAATGGTGTATCCGTAAATAAATAAATATAACTTAATGACCGGAAATTCCCGAAATCTCACTAGAAAGAAATTCAAAGCTGCTGGGTCTGACAATTGACGTTGACCTCTCTTTAAATGACCACACTTGCAACCTTATTAAGCGGAAAAAGGATTTTCATATGACGAAGAAGCTTTAAACTGGGGTTCATGTGGTAAAAAAATGAAGTGGATAGAAGGGCTTGAAACTGCTACAGCATAGGCTTGCCAACCGTCCCGATTCTGTCGGGGCAATCCTGACATTGGTCCCTTTTGCCGGTGTTTTTGTCTGTGTTAATCCTTGGAGGGAAGGAAGGTACATCCTGATTGTTCTCTTGCCAACTGTTGCAATCCTAGCATACTATGCTGTGATCAAATCACATATACAGTAGACTCTCGCTCATCCGGATCGGTCTTGTCCGGACTCCCGGTAGTCCGGTTCGGCAATCGTGATTTTTTTTAGCGGCACAGTACAGTAGAAGTTCGATTATCCGAGCGAAACGGGACCGAGACTATTTATTTATTTTATTTATTTATTTATTTATTAAACATCATCACATTACAACAATTCTCTTGACAGGTGATTTGTCACAAAGTCTAATACTAATACTATACTACATTTTAAAATAAAATAGCTTACAAAAGAAATGAAGCATATAATAAGCTACAAACCTATGGGAGAAACAATATCTTTCAAATATACTCATTTTCCAGATATTCCTCTAACGAGTAAAATGCCCTCTCCAAAAGGAAATTTTTCATACTATACTACCTCGAATAATGAAAAAAATCGGATAACACGGCGGTAAAAATTATTACCGGTGGAAGTGCATATGCCCGGGCTATCATTACTGTGTACCTGGAACAAAATTTGGCCGTAAAGATTATTACCGGTGGAAGTGCATATGCCCGGCTATCATTACTGTGGACCTGGAATTAAATTGAAAAACCGGCTATATACAGTACTGTGTATTTGCTCGACTCTCGGTAGTCCGGATTTTTCGTAATCTGGACCAGACGTCCGCCACATTAGTCCGGATGAGCAAGAGTCTACTGTACCGGTTTTTAGATATGGGATGATAACATTGGGAGGGACCTCTGAGAAAACCCATAAATCCTGTTAATAATAAAAAGGCTACAAGGGCCATTCCGACAGCTGCAGGAAAGTTTTAAAATCACTAAATTTCTTTACGGTTATATCCCTCTACGTCCATGCAGTTAGATTACATAGATAACCTGGACTTGGCTCTTTTCTGAAGATCTCTTGATGTTTGTTAGTAAAATCAAAATATAGCCAAACTGTACTAACTTGAAGTATATAATTGCACAAATGAGCCTGTGAAGCACTCCCACCGAAACCCTAGAGGGATATAAACAATGGTCGAAATTTGCACAGCTGACAAAAATTGATTGACAAAAAATTTACATTGACAAAAAATTTACATTGACAAAAAATGCCGCCATGTAAACAGCTGATATCCAAAGAGAAGTAGTCTGCTCCTCATGGCTCTCATAGTCCCAACTTGTTTAAATCATAAATTGTAAATCATTCGTTATTGTCCACTGCATTGACTTTTTTTAAGGACTAAAATAAAGTAATAACATATATTATAATTACTCCCACTGTAGGCTACCCATATAAGGATTATTGACTAACGGGAAAAAGTAGGCCTATGTGCAGTTTGCTGATACTGTTTATTAATATTAGTTTATTCATGTCCATGTGTTGTTCTTATTGTTGGGCCTAATGGAGTTTTTTTATGCCTAGTAGGCCTAACAGTTTTTTTGGTACAAATGAGGATAAATTTGGAAATAATTAATGTGGCGTCTGAGCTATAATATCAACAGAAATCAAAGAATAAAGAACTTTTGGAAAGTGTTTCAAAACATTATTATCTCAGCCATTTTGTATGTTTAATGTAGAATATGGACTGATGATGCTCATCAGACAGATAAGATAATAGTTAGTAGCTTGTGATGAGAGATAATGTAGCCTTTATTGTTGAAAACAATTTCAAAAGATTTTGATAACTACACATTTACACATTGTTTTGGATTAGTTTCCAGTAAAATATGCAAATTCTTTATTTTTAATTTTAACACACAAATTTTTATCTTTGGGACTGTTGGTATTTGTTTTCTCTCATGTTTTGAAAAATGTTAGCATTATAAAATTAAAAAGTACCATAATTTAAAAATATTGCTGTTACAAATAATTAATAAGATCACCCTTTTGCTTAATTAGTTGTTCATACTGTTTTTGTGAAAATCAGTTTTTCTGTTATTTTATCGGTTTTATGGGAAAATCACCTTTAAGAATAAAAATAAAAATGAAAATACCCTCGTCGCAGCAAACCTGCCGACTAAGCGAATTTCCATTTGTCTGAATTGATTTTCAATATTATCTAGGGTACGATATCTATTTTATCTATTTATCTAAATAACATTAGGTTTAACGAGTACCTAGGTTTGCTGCTACAAGGAAACTATCAAAGTGTGTTTTTTAGTAAAATAGCTTAGTATAAAATAAATAATTCGCCTTTTTTAAGTTTGATCAAAATATAAGCAAACTAGGCCTACAACATTTTACAATATTCCCCGTAAGAATAACATGGGAATTTTAAATTTAAATTATTTGAATAAATTCTCCGTTACCAATAGCCGTACAAAAACCCTTTGAGATACTAAATTGTTTGTTTTTTAAGCTGTTTAAAAAATACCAAAGAGAAATTGAAAAATTTTGTGTTTTGAGGGTCAAAAATGAGAAAACCCATTTTTTAACTCCATAAAACCCCATTGCCATGGCCCGATCATGCTGGTTCGCGAAATCATTCAATGTTATCCCCCATTACACCTTGAAAACAAATTTCATCAAAATCGGACAAAAAAGTTATCGCGTTCACGGACATATATCTTACTAATATTAATATTATAAATCTGAAAGTTTGTGCGTTTGTGTGTTGCTCAATCACGCATAAACTACAATAACTAATCAAACAATATTGATCTGATCTATCCTACACTCCTCTTTCATTCACCCATTATATCCCTTGGTCGTATCTTCATTTTAGTTTATACGTTTTGAAACAATGATGAGTATTTTCAATATCCGTTTTATTACAGAAAACCTTTATCAGACAAATTTGGCCATGAAACAGCAGTTGAGCACAGTAAGACTTTTGCAAGACAAGGCCTTGGAAACCCAAAAACAACACCAGGCTAAGTTTGAAGAAACAAAAGCGTTGATTTTGAAGGTAGGTGCAAATTAGTCTTTCCTTACAGTTAGGAAGTAGGGATGTCTTAACAAATTAGATAAGTGTGGCTTTTTGGATGCAGTCAAGACAAAGCAGTTTATTTCTTTGGAGAGAGTAAGTAATCCTAAACAAGTTCAGTAATATAAAAGTAATGCATACAGTAGTAAAAACAGTATGATACGTTATCTTCAACTTATCTTTTATCATACTAGATCTATCTTATAACTTAAGTCACAATCAAAACAATACCTCATGTCTTTACTTCAGAAGTTTATGGTAATCTATATTAAATACCTACTCAAAATAATAAATTTTAGCAAATGATATCATGCTTTTATCCTTAGCAGACTTATGACCCTACAACTAAATTATAATTAACCATGCTGCCCTAAAAGTATCAACTCTCATAACCAATCAATTATATGTTAAAAGTTTTGTATATAGACTTTTTTGTTTTTAGTTTTTTTATTTGTTAGCCACGCTAGCGGCTTGAAGCAAAATTCACATAATTTAAGGACGAGCGGTTCAAATCTTAAATTTATGAGAATGGCCAGAGGATTAAACACACATAAGTAAGTCTGAGATGCAACCTATGCCTTTCTTGTTGTTTCATTACCAATTTATGTTTTAGTTGGGATCTGAGAAGAGCGAACTGCAAGAAAAATATATAAAGCTCAGCGAGGAACTTAATAAAGTAAGTAGGCCTACTTTTATAATTCTGGATAGACATTTGTCCGTTTTCGATGGCAGCTCAAGTCAAAGAAATAAAGATTGTTTATAGCATAAAGAAGCTAGAGCAAAGGAAAATGTTAATCTGATTTTACCTTCCCCTTCACCTGCATTCTCTCTACACCAATTTGTTTCCCATTTTCCCTTAACACTTGCTGTTTCTTTAAAATATAATTTTGGAATTTAAATCAGTTGATCATTCTGGTTACCAATAATGAACACTAAGTTAAGGTTTTTATTTTAATCAGATCTATTATTGTGTTTATGTGTGGTTTTTGCATCAATACATGAAAAGTTTTGCCCTAAACTAGTTTGAAAGTGATTCCTTGCACTTGCGCTATTTATTCTTGTACTAGGCAAAGCTGAGTGAAACTTAGACAACAGTTCTGTTGTCTGATTTGAACTAGTTCGCTTAGCCATGGCGAATCTCATTGGAGACCTAAGTTTATGGACAAATTCCTTCCAGTGAATGATTAAAATTAAATTTTTAGGTAAAAAGTTTAATATTTTCCTTTCTTTTTTTCTACGTGTTCCATTGACTTTTGGTTAGTGAAGTCGGATCCATATAGACCAGCTGCTTCCAATCTATATATTAAAAAAATATTGGTTTTTCTTTTCCAAATCAGTTTGTTTCTTCTACCCAACCGATTTTCATAATCTTGTTCTAAAATTAATGGTAGGCACGCACAGATTTGCCATCAAGCATCATCATTCATTTATCCACTGTATTACCCACCCAAAAAACATAATTTTTTTCAAATTCTTACTTTGTATTGTAATCTAAGAACCTTCATTAAAATACCAGCTTTCATTTTAGCTATTGATTATTAAGATCGGACGTTCCTGAAGCACGCTGCTGAATCACGAATCGTCACGAACAACGAATCACGAACAACCCAAAATGTTCAAAAATGGAGTTATTTATCACAGATTGATAGTTAAATTATTTTTTGAAACCCCAACAGTAACAATCGATTCTGACGAATTTCACCTAGTTGTTAATTTAAATTGACCATGATTAAATAAATAAAAAAGGAAATGTGTATTGGCAACCATAGCAAAATAAAGTAAATATCTGATTCATCATCTCTAACAGAATAGGATTTAAAATGTGGCTATGATCTAATTTATGATGATGAAACGGTTTGTCTTTAAATAAAAGTTTGTCTTTATTCTATAGGTGAAGGAAGAAAATAAAGAACTTAGTGAAAAGAACGTTCAACTGAGCGGTGAAGCTACCAGAGTGAGTAAATGATTGTAACTTGTGTTTGGCACCTTAATTTTAAAATTTACCGAGATTTGTTTGTGCTTGGAACTCAATAACCTGTCTGGGTTCAGAACACTTTGCGAAAAATATAATTACGAAACAGATTTCAACGAATTTTTTTCATTCAAATCCATTATGTAGGCCTAAACTGTTTAACTAGACTATTAGGCCTATAAGGTACCTTTACATCCACAGTTAAAAAAAGTAATGGTAAAACTCACAACATGTTTCGCCTATTCAGGCATTGTCAAATGATCTACTTGTTAAGAACATTTAGGTACCTAAGCTTACTGTTAACCCATGCGGTAAGGAGGCAGACATTTTTTTTAGTGTCATAAACAAATTTTTTTTGAGTTCTTGTTTCTGGTTTGGAGCTGGTTACCATAAAAAAATAACCAACTTTGAGCAACAACTATAGTTGTTTATTTATTATGCTATATGGCAAAATCAATCAAAACAACTAGAAAGGCTTACCTAAACGGGAAAGAGTCCTAACTGGCACAAGGCACACACAACTTTACACTTTATACAAAACATTAGAATATTTCACTGCCACTGACATATTTACAGTAAGTTTTCCTTTTAATTTAGCAAGATATACAGGACTTTGTAGTTGGCTCAATTGAAATATGCACTTTAATGTTTGTTTTTATGCAATTGTTAGTAATTATTTACTATTTATTTTTAAAAGTAACTGACATTGTTTTTGTTCAGCTTATGGGAAGAAATGGAAACCTCATGAAACTGTCTTCTATGCAAGAAGATATGATCATTTCGGCTGAAAGGAAAATGTCATTGCAGGTGAGATTCATAGCTTTTACATTTAGTGATGAACTGTTTGGTAAATGATCAAAGGTTCAAAGTTATTCTGAGTTCTGCTTTTATAAAAAAAAATATACTTTAATCCAAAAACAAGCAATATCAACTGGAAAAATGTAGATAGTTCATCTATATTTTGTATTTTTATTTATTTTTGAACTAAATGGATAACAACATATATAATTTTATTATATTTTGTTAGTAAAAGATTATATTGTGGTGTTATCTTAGCTTTAATGCTTTATGAAAAAAAAAATTTGTATAGTAGAACTTTTATAGTTCGACACTATCAACTAAGGGACTAAGGGGGTGTCGAACTATCGAAATATCAACCTATACAGAGTATATTGGACATTTACATACTGGGAGTATTTATAACACGAGATAGAGCGAAGAAATTGACAAAAATAAACAAACTTATCAACTTGCATCTCTATTGTATATTCTTTGACTTCTTACTGTTTAAAATAGTTTGTAATATTAAACTGCTTTTCACTTTAAATGGGAAAAAATTAAAATTAATGGGATGATTTAAGTATTGAGTTTTTGCAAGCACAAAAACAATAAGAAAACTCTTATGTTTGACCTCGGCGAACCTGTCTTTGGCCGCTGCCTACATGTTACGTCATTACGTCATGGCCCGTGTCAACCATCGAAGTTCTACTGTAGTAAACAATCTTCTCTTGTGATGTAACAACGACAACTGTATAGTCTACCCGTGAGATGATGGGGCCTCCTCACGCTAAACATCGTCTGTATAACCTACATTTTACCCTGCATATAATATTTTTGTTTACATTTTTTTTGCGATCGTGATTAATCCGCAACCGTAGTTAACCCATCTTGTGGATAGTCAGGAGTCTACAGTACACCCAGTTGTGCTCCCATTTATGGAAAACAGCCGGTCTAGTAGTAGAGTTCAAATCCCGCCAATCACAATGTGTGAACAGTTGGGTTACAGCCCAGCGTGGGTGGGATGGCAAAATATTGGTAATATACCATAGGTAATATTTGTTCTGTGTCTTGTTAGGCAACAAACAAGGAGACAGAGTTGAGGGAGGTTGTTGATCAGCTGACACGCAAGTTGGAGGCCGTTGAGAGGGCTCGGCGCCAGCAGGAGTTTGACATAGACAAGCTGCAGGCTCAGCTGGCGCGGAGTACTCAGGACTTGACTGAGACACAGCGTCGTCTGGCGCACACCGAGCAGGCGTTGGAGGTTAGATATTGCTATCTGAACAAATGTTGAACTATTTAAAAAAATACAACAGTTTGGTGTGAATCGTTTAGCAAGTGAAAAACCAGCTCGCGGTTGACATAAGTATGTTTACAAACATTGAGTCACCTAGGCGGTGAACACTTTTTCCTATCACCGCACTGGGAGTAAACATATTGTTACGATATAGTTTGCGATCACTCGATTGTTGTGTACAGCTGAGTTAGGAAGAAATGAACGAACAATCTAATCTAATAAGTCTGTTCAGTGATGAATATTTTGATATGACGAATGGATAGTATCCTTCACAGCTCTAGGAAAATGTTCTCACTGACACCAAACTAAGTCTGCCAGTTGTTGTAATGTATTTTAGTAAAAAAAACTGACATGTCATATGTTTACTGCTGTATCACAATTATGCAAATTCTGCATGACAAACATGTTATTTCATTTAATTTTCTTTCGGCTATCTGCTGTGCAAGAGGACAAGGTATCTTTTGCCAATGTGCATCTTTACGTTTGGATTTTCACTCGCAAAACGAACTGTACAGCTAAACTGTAAAAAAATTTCAGTTTATTCTCTCATATTATACATACATTTTTTATTTGAAGTTGACTCAGTTTTCTTTACAGACTGCACAGGCTATTCCTGTCAAAAGCGAGAACTCCCTGCACTACGGCGAGAAACTTACGAAATATGAAGGACTGCTGAAACAGTTCAAGTCTTCAATTCAAGAAGAGCACTCCAGGTTAGTAGCCCTGATCTGATATTTTCAATACCCCATTTACAGTAATCAATTGACGATTTAGATGAAATAAAACATTTTGAATAGTTTGGGATTGGCCTATTCCTACACTAAAAATTGTAGGCTACTATTAATTTGTTGTGCATAATTAATTGTACTACTCACAAGAGAAATTCTGGATCTTATATTTAAAAATGACATAAATGAATATAAATATGCGAGTTCTTAATATTTCCTGGGATTAGCTGCGACTTTTAAGATATCAGTTGAACTGATTGAAATTTTAACACAATTTTGTCTGCAGGCCATTTCAATAATGTAAATAACTATTTTTAAATATTTTGTTCAATTAAGTTGCCCTGTTAGGAGGTGTAAATATATTTTGATATTTTTTTTGTCTCTATAATTTTTTGCTATTTCCCTGGGCTATGGACACAAAAATTTTTTTTTTTTTTTTCGATAATACTTCAATAATAATTTTTGGTCAATAATACTCATTGAATAATATCTTGTTACGGGAGCCTGTAAAGTAGTTCCATGCCATTTTTGTAATTTAAAATGATGTGCTAATAACTAAGCTGACAAGGAATTACAATAATGGATTCACAAGAATACTGTATGGCTACTGTCAGTAATATCCCACTATCTTGATGGTTTACGATTACATTTTAGCGAATTTTCCATTAGGGAATAAGCTAATACCATAGTACTCATGGTAAGACCGATTTTTTGTTTGTTTTGAGGTCCCTAGATGCCAAAAATACCATCCGTTCAAATTCATATATATATGTGTGTCCGTTAGCGTGTTAACTCGGGCAAAAATGATCCGATTTTGATGAAATTTGGTACAAACGTGTAAGCCTACGTTTATTCGAACGAGTTCGCGAACCAGCATGACTGTACCATGGGAACAGGGTTTTATGGAGTAAAAATGGGGGTTTTCCCATTTTTGACCCAGGAAAAAACATAAAATTTTGCAATTTCTTTCCAAACTATTTTGTAGTGCTTAAAAAAACAAATAATTTAGTATATTGAATGGGCCTAGTGGTTTCGGAAAAATATTTTAATTTAAAACTACCATGTTATTCTTATGGAGAATGTAAACTGTTGTAGTTTGCTTGTTTAACATATTTTGCCCAAATTTGGAAAATTTTATTTCTTACTAACTATTAACATTTTACATAAAAAAACACTTTTACCCTCCCTGTTGCAGCAAACCTAAGTATGTGAAACTGATTCTATTTAAGTAGGAAATAAATGTGATATTTTTAATTAAGGAGACATTTTAGTGTAAATCCAATCAGGCAAATGGAAATTCGCTTAGTCTGCAGGTTTGCTGCGGCGGGGTATTTACTAATGGCTCTGTTAAATAATTGATTCTTAGTTCTACTCGTAAGTTAAGGAACCAATCTAAAGTCATTTAACTCATGGGGGTCATGAGGTAGGTAGAAAAAATAATTTGTTGCCAATCAGTTTTAGCAGTTTCTCTACTTCGTAGAGGTCTTACTGCCTTTTATCAATGCTTACTTTTATAACTGCTACAGGTTCAACAGTCTAAACAGCTGGTTGACAATGACTGATCCTACTGGCAACTCAGCCCAGTTTGAGATAACAGAGCTGAGACATCTTTTGGCTGAAGAGCAAGCTCAGAGCGTCTCTAGAAAGTAAGCTTCAGTCGTACATTTATTTCACTTTTGTAATACAAAGTGAAGTTTTGTTCACTAGAGTTAGTTTGCAACCAGAAACTGTAGCCAAAATAGAAAATCGATAACATTCTAAAGAGAGTTTTATCTATCGTTTATGAAAGTGCCACTTTTCTGGCAATGAAACAAATAATGCATGTAAATAATTTAAATGATTGTATTGTTATTGACAAGTTATATAGATGAACTAACTTCATTGTACAATTGATGATAATCCGACACTGCCATGAATGAGTCGATGGGTAATATATGAACAATATTGTAATTTGATTTGTGTTGTGACAGTCTCGTGTCTTTCTCGTTGTGTTGTTCAGTTTGATACTGTGGTTCTTACAGTGAATAGTGGTGATTATTGGGTAGAATAAGACTATTTACTACACTTAGCCTGATTAATTGTCAATACTTTTGTTCAAGGAAAGGCTCTAGGCCAGGATTTTGAATTGTAGAAAAAGGAGGATAGCAGCTAGCTTACCTTGAAAGTGTAAGGTAGTTGCTATCCTCCTTTTTCTATAATTGTCAATTTAATTTAAGTATCTGACTTTTTCAATCAAGATCCAGCTGTATGCGAGAGTTGATAAGTTAAATAGTTTTTGTATTCAATAAAATTTCTTTTGTCTAAAATTAGGCATAAGCTTATCCAATCAAATGTATATTTGTCAAGAAACACTTAATTTAACTTCATAAGTTGGCTTTCCTCAGCTTATAGACTAAATTTAGTATTATTTTTCTGATAATCTGACATCCGAATCAGAGGCCTCTATAGGTTCGGATTATTATATTCACACTATAAATAATGGCACATTGGTTTTTGTTCTTAACATTTTTTTATTTTGTTATGAGCCATACATAGGCTTATTGGTGACAAAAGTTCTATCAAATTTACCACCAAGTAATTAACTTTTGGAATAAGTATTCAAAAGGTTTCACACATATTCTAGATTCAAACTGTTTACCAAATAACTTATATTTTCCAGAGAGAAGTTGTACCAGACAGTGGCAACTATTCACGAAATGCTAGGAGACTTTCAGCAGTTAGGAGAAGAACTTGAACGAGTTAGGGCCGACCATGCCGTCAAGGTAATAATAAAATTAAATATAGTACAGTTAACGCTCCCTTAACACGTTCAATGCGGCTACGTGATGGCCAGCCAATGCCGGTGGCGCAAACAGCTAATGCGCTGCGTGAATGATTGCGAAAAAACTTTTAAATTTAGTTCTATCGAAATGAGAGGCATATATTGCGTACCAGTCTTTGAGGACGTAGTTTTACAAGAACTCTTAACATATAGGACTAAACACTACTTCTAGCCAGCCCTCAGTATTGCCAAATGGAGGGAAAAAGCGGGGATGAATTACCTAGATACACCATCAAAAAATACCGCAAAAAAGCGGTCAACCACTATTTTGAGGTTAGGTTCCTTCCACAATACTCACAGTACATTCATTATCGTTATTCTATTGCATGTCATTAGATTCAAGCCCCATACTACAATAATTTTTAACAATCCCTACCACCGATAAAATCGTCAGATCTGAAAACAAATTTTACTGGATTGAAGTATAAAACTGGCACAACAAGCGGCAAGCGAAACAATGTCTCAGCTAAACTCACACTGGAACAATAGTTTTATACGGCGCTTTGTCGAGTATACTAGTCCTCTGGCTTACTATTTTACTTAATCAATGCAACACATTAAATGTACGGTGTTTAGGAGTCACATGGTCTGGCATACGACGAGTTGCAAAAGAAAGGGTTCCGAGAGCAGATTGACTCTCTGACTGCCAAGCTCGTAGAGAGGGAAGAGGCCCTGGCTATATCTGAGAGACATCTGTCGTCTCTGCAGGAGGCTGTGCGGTTGCAGAACGATGAGAAGAAGGTAAATTATCACCACTTTAGTGTATATTCTATATTGTTTCTTTTTAAGGTAGGATAGTTTTGAAGTTTAAATGAACACAATTAATAAATTAACCTAGATGTTATCTTAATGTAACTAAACAAAACTGATGTAAAAAATATTTAATTTCTTTTTAAATTATACAGTATTCACAAAATTTGAATTTGGCTTACATTTTGTTGTGAACTAAACTTCCTGTGGATGTTCGATATACTACTAACACACTTAGTGATTTAAGCAGCACTGATAATAATTAATCTGAGTGTGCAATTAACATGTTACCTGCTTACAGATCCATGAAATATCTTCTCATGTGTTGAAAAATAATAAATACCGGTACCTAGATTTCCGTGTCTTTCTTGGTACAGCACACTGCTTATACAGAGTAACTTGGGTCATATTGTCGATGATAATATACAAAAGTGTATGATAAAAAATTGGAATAGGCCTACGACATTAAAATAAGCAAACCTGAATATAGTCATAATTGTTTATTAAAGTGTACATAACATTTTTTATTTTGACTACTGATAAATTATTACAATTTATCTGATGTAGTGTCTAAAGTATTGACTTAACGCCTCTTTAAAAAGTGATGTGTCAAAACCCATTTGATTTTAAAGCTAAAATTTTACTCTTCTAAGTTAAAATGATTATTTATACATAGAATATAAATAATAATACATGTTACAGGGGGCTTTCACATTTTTAGGAATGTTTGTAAGTATAATGAATTACACATCAGATTGTGGAATAGCATTACTTTAAAATCTTATCTCCTGTTCCTACAGGTGAAATTTAAAATAGTGCTATTTTGCAACTGAAAATTATTGTTGTATCGTTGTAAATGAATGAGCATTTTCATCGTAGTTAAATTGTATGACACATCACAGATGGATTTATTTTTAAGTATCTGTAAATAAAAAGGATATGTTTGAAGTTTGTTGCTAAATCAATCTTATTTACTGTTTAATTTTTAGTAGACTAACTGTATAAAACAAATAAATTAATTTTAAAGTTGGTCTTTTATTATTTTGTTTTTCGTCAATAATAGGTTTTTTTTGTAGATCTTCCTTAAACGTAAATATTAGTTTATTGTTAACTTGAAACCATATTTTATAGCAATTCATCATTCTGAAATTTAAATAATTAATTATTAAGTTTATTCATTAATTCTGATTTTTGAATATTTTTTTATATTTTGCTCCTAGCTTGGTTTGTATCATGTTTTCAAGCTATTCATTTATCGTCATTTCATCCATGCTATTATCTTGTTGGTATTGGGTAAGGGGTTGTATTTTGTTGTGTTATGGTGATATCATATAAATAGATTTAATAAAGTTTAAATCATTTAACTGGATGATTACCTAGTAAAAAATTAGTTTTTGTTCAAGTCTGACTTCCAAACCGTGTTACTCATTGAATTTGTGGAATGTGGACAACCGACATTTTTTAAAAATTGATAATGATAATAGACTATATTTAATTTCTTCTATACCTTTTGAAGTATCAATGTTGTTAGCTTCTATCAGTCCAATAGTTTAATATTAACAGACGGTTTTGTGCCGCTTGTCACCAAAATGCTTTATTTTACAGGCCTATCCAATATTAAAGTACAATGGGGCATGATTTCCAATTGATAGTACCAAAAACTATAGGTTTAATTTAAAAATACGTTTGGAACCGCCACTGTGTTTAACATACACGATAGTTGCTTTAAGATTTTTAAAATAAGGTTATCAATAGGGATGGACGGGATTGAATTTTTAGTTCGGGACGGGACGGGACGGGATTTTTATTTCCTTCCCGATTTTCGGGACGGGACGGGACGGGATTTTTTCTGTGTATAAAAAGAAAGTCTTGAGTATAGCAGTTACCAAAAAAGACATACAAAATCAATTTTTACCGTTTTTGGTACTGATCTATAAAAACCAAAAAATAGGTAACAATATACAGGTACCTGTAGAAACTTGTGACTCGCGGTCACGGCGCGATCGTCGGTATGACTCGCGGTCACGGTCCAATCGTCGGCATGACTCCACTGTCACGGCGCGATCGTCAGCATAACTCTGCGGTCACGGCGCGATCGCCGGTATGACTCGCGGTCACGGTGCAATCGTCGGCATGACTCCGCTGTCACGGCGCGATCCTCGGCATGATTCCGCGGTCACGGCGCGATCGTCGGTTGGACTCCGCGGTCACGGCGTGATCGTCGGCATGACTCCGTGGTCACGGCGCGATCGTCGGCATGACTCCGCGGTCACGGCGCGATCGTCGGCAGGACTCCGTGGTCACGGCGCGATCGTCGGCATGACTCCGCTGTCACGGCGCGATCGTCGGTATGACTCGCGGTCACGGTGCAATCGTCGGCATGACTCCGCTGTCACGGCGCGATCGTCGGCATAACTCCGCGGTCACGGCGCGATCGTCGATATGACTCGCGGTCACGGTCCAATCGTCGGCATGACTCCACTGTCACGGCGCGATCGTCAGCATACCTTCGCGGTCACGGCGCGATCGCCGGTATGACTCGCGGTCACGGTGCAATCGTCGGCATGACTCCGCTGTCACGGCGCGATCCTCGGCATGATTCCGCGGTCACGGCGCGATCGTCGGTTGGACTCCGCGGTCACGGCGTGATCGTCGGCATGACTCCGTGGTCACGGCGCGATCGTCGGCATGACTCCGTGGTCACGTTGCGATCGTCGGCATGACTCCGCGGTCACGGCGCGATCGTCGGCAGGACTCCGCGGTCACGGCGCGATCGTCGGCAGGACTCCACGGTCACGGCGCGATCGTCGGTTGGACTCCGCGGTCACGGCGTGATCGTCGGCATGACTCCGTGGTCACGGCGCGATCGTCGGCATGACTCCGCGGTCACGGCGCGATCGTCGGCAGGACTCCGTGGTCACGGCGCGATCGTCGGCATGACTCCGCCGTCACGGCGCGATCGTCGATATGACTCGCGGTCACGGTGCAATTGGCATGACTCCGCTGTCACGGCGCGATCGTCGGTTGGACTCCGTGGTCACGGCGCGATCGTCGGTATGACTCCGCGGTCACGGCGCGATCGTTGGTATGACTCCGCGTCACGGCGCGATCGTCGTTATGACTCCGCGGTCACGGCGCAATCGTCGAAATGACGATTGAATGATCGTCGAAATCGTCTCCTGCGTTCGCGGACCTATCGCTCGCAATAGCGGCGTTATCGGCACTCGCGAAGCGGCAAAATCGCCGAAGATCGGACCAAAACCCGTCCCGAAAAATTCCCGAATCAAATGTAATCCCGTCCCGATAATCGGGAATATTTTTTTCCCGAATAATTCCCGAAATTTCGGGACCCGTCCATCCCTAGTTATCAATCTTTTTTTAATTTTGTACTTGTTTTTGTTTTTACCCATAACTATGGGCTAACAATCTGTATTCTTATTTTTCTGACTAGATTCAAATAATTTTTCCATTTTTTCGGGAGGAGAATTTCAAGTTGTTATCCACACATTTTGCCTGATTAAAAACTCACAATGACACAGTAATCGGGAATTTTTTTTGAAAGCGTTAACTAAAATCTAAATCCTAAGTCAGAAAGATCCAACGATCCCTCAATGGCAATGGCATCAAAGGTGTTGAGTAACCAAGAATTAGAATCCTAAGTGTTTAATGCAGTGTTGGGTTTTATTATTTTGTATTTATTGAGTATTTACTGTTTTGCAGGAGGGTGCAGAGATTGCTACTCTCAAGGAACAAGTCAACAACTTGGTCGGTCAAGTCACAGCTAAAGATGAAGAACTCAAGGCCAAGACTGACGAGATGGAGGCGCTCAAGACTGATATGCAGAAACTTAGGGTTGACTGTGATACAATTCCCGTGCTGGAGGAACAGGTACATTTTACTCCTTGAGTCTTGAGTTGATATAAGATTAAAATACTAGCAGTTTGCCCTCTCTTTGCTCGAGAAAAAATTGTGAATAATTAAATAATTTATTACAGTAGGGGACCTGTAAAACATGAATATTTAGAATGATCATTGCATGATGGAAATAAAAGATTACATGGCATACTTGTCTTCACACTTTAAAAGTAGGCATATTAATCCTTAATAAAAATTTTTTTGACATAAAAGCACTAGGCAGTATTGTATTTCTTTAAAAAATTTCACCCAAGAGTGATCACTGGCAAAAAAGGCTCTGATGAAATTTGAGCCGCTTCATTATCAAGAAACCTTAGGCACATTCCATTGATCACAAACATTGGCCCTGGAAACGTCTATGTCATGCCTATCTCTTCTTTTACACATCCCTCATCACATCACCTTCAACCTATCACTATTGACCTTCTTCTAGTAATAGACCAGACTTCTCCGTTTTCTCTCTCTCCATCTTCTTTTCCTCTACCATCCCTATCCTCTCGTCTCATCACTTGTCATCTCATTTATCCTACTATTAACTATTAGTAGTCAACTACTAGTATTCCTCTTTCAACTGTCACATTCAATCCTTCTCCTCAGGTGATCACCAAGGATTAGACTAGGGTTGTGTTAATACTGAGCTAGAATGATACTTTCTGTGTTGACAGGCCAAGATCTACCAGGCGGATTTTGAGGCGGAGAGGAAGTCACGGGAGACCTTAGTGGCTGAGAAGGAACGACTTGTGGAGGACTTGAGGCACTTGCAGCGGAGGAACCATGAGCTGATAGACGAGCTGAACAACTCTCGTGGGGAGACTCCTGCGCAGCCCAGCGCTCCAGCTGTGCAGACCAGGTGTGTACAAGATAGTCACAGCTGTGGTCAATCGTACAGGGTTTCGGAAAGTGTGACAGGGTGTCTACTGGTCACTGATTTTACTTGAGGGGTCAAAGAAGATAATGAAAAGTAACAGATTTTCATTTTAAGATCCCCAAAAAAGTCACAAAAAATTTGGCCTAACTAAAAAAAGTTTTCCCAAACCTGCCTTTTGTTTTGCACTTTACTGCAGGCAATGAATTCATAGTGCAGAGAGCAAACATATTTTGGCAGCAGGCAGCCAGCTTAAAATCGTTACGACACAAAATATTGTATGCCCGACTATCTCAGGTTCAGGTTCAGATCACTAAAAATATTGTCTTATTGGTACCATAGATTGATAGTGTGTTTTAACGTCCTCCCTCCCTCCCCTAAAGTCATTGAAATTTAGTTTGATCAATTAGTAGACACCGTGTTCATGCAGAATTGGAAACGGAAAGAAATTGGTTGTGTTTCAGTTCAAGGGAAGTCTGGACCAAAAGTTTAGGGAAATGTCCAAAAACAGAGTATGATGTGACCAGAAAAAGCCTGTGAATTTTACGTTTTAATGTTTGAGTAATCACTAGGATGATTGAGTGTTCATCCATTAACGACAAGTTAAATATCAACAGCAATAGGGGTAGAGAAAAGTCAGGGAAATAAAAAGTAAAATTGTCGTTGAAACCCTGTTAAAGAGATGGAAAATGAACTCTCTTATGCAATTTAATCTCTTTTTGCTAGAACTTATCAATGTAAATAAAAAAAAAAATAATAGATCTGAATTCAGTAGTCTGCTAGTAATTCTTTTTATGACTAAGTATTTTCCATCATTTTAATTTGTTTATTTCATCTTATTATTTATTAGTATGTATTTTTATTTTATCAATTATTGTAATTTATTTTAGTTTGTTTTTGTTATTAGTTACTACCTAAATAATTGTTATGGACTCTTTCTGCATGTAATATTGGATAAATCTTTTAAATTTTTTGGTGAAGAGTAATATCTCTTACTTCATGTTTTTAAAACTGTTTTGTTTTGACAAAATACATAAAAACAACATTGCTGGTAATTTTTTCAATGCTGAACTGTCGTAAACTGTGAATGTATCTTATCTTACCTTATTAACTAACTAAAGAGTTTTTTTTTTCAGGGAACCTGAGAGAGAAACACCATCTCCAGTTGATGTGAGTATGAACGAAACTAAAAACAACTTGAATTGCCAATCTAACTGAAACACTAACTGAATAAACTATGAGTAAAATTATTTTTCTAAGTAAATAATAAGTTTATGTTCATGTTATTAAACATTCATTTAGACCTTTAAAAAGTCTAACAACTTTTAAATTTATAATTATTAGTCCATGGATTTAATTACTACCTATTAAATAACTAGTAAATCACTTGCGTCCATTAGTTAAAAAGACAATTTTGTCTTATTTCTTTAGTGAGCCAGAATGAAATAAACCAACAATGGCTCTGTTAACTGTTTTTTTTAAACCCCTCACACAGGTAGGCTTATACATCGATTCACACAACGATTTGAACAAAATAAAATAAAATGAAAATGCTTCTCTATTGTGGCGAACATAGGACCTCGTGGTCTTTTCTTACAGTTAACCTCTCTGAATGCATGCTGGATGAGAATGAATAACCTGCATGTTTAGCTTAGTAGCATATTATTCAAGTACATGTGAACGTTTGAAAACTTACAACTCAAAAGCAGTAACAAAATGATAAATTTAAGACTGAGCGAGTCATAGTATTTTTTCTGTCACCTTAATGCAAGCATTACAAATTAAATTTCTCCTCTCACCACTGTAAAACTTCACTCTGCCATCCGATAAAGAAAATACCGGTAAAAAGATTTTCTTTTTGCAGAATAGTGAAAATGAAGAATTAGAAATAAACATGGTGTTTCATGAGAAACAAGACGGAAATCTGTGCGCTCAACACTGCTTGAACGCTTTGTTGCAAAAGTCGCACTTCAACGCCGTGGACTTGGCCGAACTGGCGATGGAGATGGACTATGCGGAGAAACAGACGTTGGTGGAGGCGGGAATCAACACCAAAGAGTTTCAAAGCTTTATCAGCCAACCGTCGCAGAACATGGACGACTCTGGGTTCTTCTCTGTGCAAGTGATTGGTTGTGCGTTGGCTCTGTGGGGTCTAGAGATGGTTCCGTTCAGCAGCAATGATCCGAGAGCGATCGCTGCAAGACAGAATTTGAACACAGTTAGGGCGTTCATCTGTCACTCGCACGCCCACTGGTTCACTATACGCCGCGTGGGCAGTCGATGGTACAACCTTAACTCTACCCTGGACGGACCTCAACCTCTGTCTGACTTGTACTTGAGTCTGTTCTTGCTCGAGTTTGAGAAAGAAGGTAACTTTGTGTTTATGGTGTTCGGAGATCTGCCTGCGTGTGCGGGTGATGAAGGGGTGACCGAAGTCAGTGAGATTCCGTGCGTCGCCAAAGAGGAACCCAAGGAAGCACAGAATTCCCTACATCTAGTGTTGCGTGAGAAACCTCAACCTCCGACTTCTTTCACTGAGAGACTGCGATTGTTGTTGCTCAACAAGGAGGCTTGTGGTTTCTTCGGTTTGTAGACAAACTGAGGTGCGCCGACTGTGTACGATGTGATATTGTTCCTGCGATATTTAGATTTGTATTTACTCAGTGCAAATGTGTTATGGTAAATAATTTGGGTTATTATATCTTGTGTAAGTTTAAGTCTAGGTTAACTGCCTGTGAGGGGTATGACAGGACAATGGTTGTGTCCGGCCCTGCAAGTAAATCTAATTATTTTCTTGAGTTTTAGCCATAAATTGGTGGTAAATACCTGCATGTGATCTGGAATGTTGTGTTGTGGCAACTAGTCTTGAATGAAGTCATGGAGTCATCTTCAGGCCTGTAAAAAGATGTCTTCTTGTCGCCATAATTTGAATGTTTTAAACATTAATAATAAATAGGGCACACAAACATAAAACCATGAAAATTTAGGTTGAAAAAAAAAACAAAAATAACTGTACATTGGTGGGACACTACGTGATCAGGCGAAAGTATATTATTCCCAGAGTATTCATAGGTAACAATCTAATAACTTATTTAAACTTTTCTTTACATTTCCTTTTTTAAGTGGTCTACTCAATAAGGCATGACTAAAGGGATATACCCACAATCCATCCCTTCATTCCAGCCATTGCCCTCTTGTTATCCTCCATACAGGTAACCTGAGATAATGCTTAGACCTATTTTAGTTATATAGCTATTGACAGTGCCTTATAATACCAAATAACTACGATTCAAATGTTAAGATTTACATTAAAGGTAATTACAAATTAAAATGTAATTTAAGTTATGATGATCCTAAGTCTTGTTTGAGATTCGTATATTTCACCTGTAAGGTAGGTTTACTGTTAAGTTTGAACTGTTAGTGTAACTATAGAATTGTAGCTGAGGTGTGTAAAAAATAAACACCTTTATAAAGATCTCTGTTCTAAGGATGCTCTTTACAGAAACTTGTACTGTAGAGCTTTAAGAGGATGGTTAGGAAAGCCAAATAGGATGTCACTGGCTTTAGCTACCTTATATAGTTCAGTTTGTTTTGTTATACTTATTAATATTACTGGTAAAAGATTGAATGTCCTTAAGAGATTAACTAAACATACAATGATATGTTGTGTAAACATTTTTTTCAACTCACTTGCTTTGTTAATGAATACTTGCGTACTTAGTTGTTAGTTATGACATAAATTTTCTCTATATTACCAATCAATGTATGAAAAAAATATAATTTATAATTTTCTCAATATTTATTGTTTTTCATATTTATCCCTCCCATCCCATCTTTATTGACTGTTTTATCCTTCTACTGCTATAAAACTATGATAGGCACCAATAATCATACATGAAGAAAGCATTTATGGTTCAAACAGTTTGAGTACCGCTACCGTGCCTGATACAGTAATATAAATCCGTATCCACAATATGTATCCATCTTGCCCACGTAGAGCTACTTATATTGATCAATGTATGCCACTGCTGCATAAGTGGGATGTCTACACATCTAATGCATTTAAAAAATATGTCAATACTCTCGAGCTTTCAAAACTTTGGCACGGTTTTGAGAGAAACTCTACTGAACAATAAGGAGAATGTGCGGATGTGTATATACAAGAATAGAAGTGGTTTACCCTTACCAAAAAACAAACTCTTTAGAAGGTACAATAGTTCTTCTGAAAAGGAGCTTTACATGACAGAAGGTACAATAGGCAGAACAAAGTTACAAACAACAAGATTGTTTAACAACATTATTGACTGTAAAGTACTCTCAGGAAGTAGTAAAGAAGGACGTGCCCCATAAACCAAAATCTTAGAAACTACACTTCCTTTTAAAATGCTTAGAATGAATCCGATTTCCAATGACATTAGCTTATGTAATAACGATTACGGTAACAGGACCTATGGAAAGTCCCTTTCAAAAGTTGCAATTTACCTTCCAAAACCCATGTCCACACATGGTCAACAATATGTTGCTTTGAGCCTAGCCAAGTCATTCAACAGTATAAAACTTGTAATTAATCAAACACAGGGGTAACAAAAATATTGGAAAATATAGACTTTACTGCGGTCAGTATTGTTTTGAATGAAGTTTTAATGCAATTAAAGTAATAGACGGTATTTATTAAAACACTTTTAACATTTGTTTAAAACTGGACACCAATAAATAATTATATTGCCAAAATAGTGTTTCCAATAGGCCTATTTGGTTAATATTTTGATAATCTTTTAGCAAAATTTCTATATTGATAGTATGTTATTACCCGTAAGTCTCATGGTAAGACCTAGACCTGGGATCGATTTACTTTTTCGTTTTTATGTCCCGAGAGACCAAAAACATCAACTATTCAGATTCATGTATCTATCCTTTAGCACAATCACACGAAGCACACTTTACCACCTTCCCTGTAGCAGCAAACCTAAGTACCTACTTGTTAAACCCTAAGTTATTTAAATTGGGAATAAATCTGACATGTTTAAGGAAATATTTAAGTGAAAATGCAATTAGAATGGAAATTTGCTTAGTCTGAAAATTTGTCAAACAGTGTCTGGTTATGAAAATCGTTTAGTTGTACAAAAGCTTTTTTTTCATATTAAGTATATTTCTGAAAACATTCAGATTTAATGTATGCTTGAACTAAATCCGTTTTCAAATCGATATCTACTCTTCAAACATCAACTCTAGTAGGTCAAAAAAAGATATGAGTATCGTCAAATATTTATCGTTGAGTTAATCTTGGCAATAAAATCTCTCTGTGTTTATCTTAAAATTGTAATCTTCTATTTCCTTTAGGTTGATGGATTTACAGTGTGTGCCAAATGTTTTAAAAGTGCCTATTTTTTAGAAAATCCCCAAATGAAGAAAACTAATGTTCCAACAGTTTAGATACATAGTAAATTTATGGCTATTTTGTATCGGATTGTTGTAAAAGAATGGAAGATTGTTGTATTTTTATGAAAGATTAAGTAGTGTTACAGCATTAGTTTTATTTTGCTTAACATTATTAAAATAAAAACCTTTATAGTTATGCATTTAAAACTAACCTCTCATCTTCTGTTTTTGGTTAAGCTGTGTGTTTATGTGTTGAGAACTCTATTTTGACCTAAGATTGTTAAATGTAACTTAGTAATATCTTTTTTAAAGACTAACTAACCCATTTCTCAGAAGTGCGCAACTGAACTAAAATACCTTGCAAATTAAAAAAGTTATATTTGCTTTTTGTAGTAGTTCACCAACACAATTTTGTGTGATAAAAACAATTGCAAAGTGTTAAGTTTGTTCTCTTACAGACATATAACATATATTGAAATTTAAACTTTTTTTTTCAATTAAATTCAACTTTGAAGCTAGTCTACCCACAGAAAAGTAAAGTAGAAAGAAAACGTGCTTTATGGGACAACCGTCCGCTTTCAGCTCTAGTATGTTGTAACTGAAATATACTTGTGACAAGCGAGGAAGTGGCGAGCACTGTACGGAAGTTCCTATCGCACAGGGCACAGGGTCTTCCTCCACCGTGAGTATTGTAGTACACGAGGGCGAGGGGGCGGTGTTGGACTTTGCCCTAGACACACTAGTGCTAGACACCACTTAAGTGTACCATTGAATGTTTCCTCTGTATGGTCCACCGTAGTATCTAAAAGTAAGTGAAAATACGTAGGATATTTTATGGTTCCAACCATCTCCCAATACCTTACTCAGGTATTTTATGGCCCCACTATAGTCCAGTATTTACCGAAGGTGTTTTACGGTTTTTCAGCCACAAAATGAAACAGCGCCACAGAGATTCTTTTGCCCTAATCCTGAATGCAACAAAATGTTCACCACGATCGATCCGCTACAGCAACATGTCATCTCTTGTCTCAAACTGGATGACTAATTGAACGACAAATTGGACGACATATTTCAGCAAGGCTGTGACGAGCAAACTAAAGATTTTTTCACCTATTGGTTCACAAGTGCAACGATTTACCCGAGGGATTTTACAGATTCCTCAGTAGCTTGGATGGTAACAAATTAGGTTTATTACTTTTTGGGTTGGTAATTATTTCAAAATAATGAAATTGTTAGATTGAACCAATGTTTTCAAATGAAACACATCACAGAATTAGTTCTCAGGTTAATTTTACATGTTTAACAATTTCTTCTATAGTTTTGTTGTTTTTTACTTTATTGACCACTGTTAGTTGAATATAGTTGTTCTATAAGAATTGTTCTTTGAACTTAGGTGTTTGAACCTCTAAAGCCGTTTGATTGCCTCATTAGGAACACAAATTAGAAGACTATTTATTTTGAAAATGGTCTACCTGTCTACCTAACCGTGGAACCTTGATAACAAGACTATCGTGGGGATTATTTAATAAGACATGTTATCAAGGTGGACTCCTCATCAAAGTTTGTAGTGACATGTCATTAATGGTCAAATAAATTCTAGGGGCATTAAAAATTACACTTGTTATCAAGGTTGATTTATTATCAAGGCACCACTGTACGAGTTTTTAAATTAATCAGTTCTTAAGGGGTTAGTTGTAAATGTATTTTAATATAGAGGCAATTTTAAAAACCATCTAACAACTTGAGTTGATATCTAAATTTTACTTTGGAAACATCTTAGGGTCCCTTGATCTGTTACCATCCCTGAAACTAGGGTTGAAAGTTTTTACTAAGTGCAATAAAAAGCAGTATCTTCTAAGAGATTTTAAATTTTCAGGCAGTTTTAGTAAGTATTTGGGGAGACTAGTTGATATTGTAATTAATATATTCCTAAAGAAGCAAAATATTGTCACTTAAAAAAAAAATTAAGAATCGTATATTATTACAATTATTTCTTTTCTATTGGGATTTGGCATATGAGCATCTATTTAGATTTGCTCTTTAGATAAATGGTGCTAGGGTTAGAATTTTAAACAAAGTATATATTTTGTACCTACAAATTAAAAAAGAAACTATTTATGTAGGCATGTAATATTAGATAACACTTAATATTTAGGATTATAATATGTAAAATGTGTCTAATTTTATCGTTATATCACTATTATGATTTTTAACTTTTCACAGATCAGAATTTTAAACACTTTAGCCTATTTTATGTAATATCAATATATTTATGTAATTCTGACTTCACCAATCAATGTACTGTGCTATTTATTGTTTTTACTAAACCAAACACCTATACTGTATTTTAATTATATGTCATCATCTTGTTAAATTTGTTGTTCCATAATATTTGTCTAAAAATAACGTAAATAATCAGTTGACTGTGTTTTTAGTATACTCGATTTTAAAATGAATCTTTGCTTATTTAATGATTTATTTTATGAATGTAGAGTTAATGACATGAAAGTGTTATTACTTACCAAATCTCTCTGAAGTTTTTATCTAAATTCTAATTGAATGATGGCAGGCTGGACCCAGTTTTTAACCATCAAAATTTTGTTTAAAAATAAGCTATTCTATTGTAGACTATAGCTAAAAAAATTACTCTATGAAAAGTAGGCCTACATAATTAGATATTTTAGTGCTTTATGTAGCAATTGAAATATAAAAAAAACACTATATAAGTCAATAAGTTGATGACAAACTTGAATGTTTTAAAGCAATCATTATATTGTTTCCTGTTCACTTTCTGTGTTTATTAACTACTTCAAACTACCTCTAGAGAGGTTCACATTACTTTGAAATTTTCTCCAATTCATTTCTGTTACACTTTACTGAAAAAAATATTGACCGAGTCGGATTAGGGAATGTACTTTGACGTAGGCCTGATAAAAATTGATTTACGTTCCTAAAATGCATTTGCTCTTACAATGCGTTAGAAAATCAATTGTAACATTTCACTAGCCTTCTACATTATTTGTGTTTATTTTCAATGGCAAGTATTTAAGTTTCAGAGTGGCCAAAGATGGGGAATTATGTGTGGATTTTAAGATTTCACGGGAAAAACTGATTTTAGTGCAATATTGTTGTTACATGCAGTAAATACAAAGGGTGTAACACCCAGCAACAACGTTCTGTATTTTTGCTTGCACAAAAAACGACTGCTAAACATTCTGAACATTGCACGGCAAATTCGTGAGGTCTCAGTGAAATTGTGAACATATTGTCTGCGGTCATAGTCATAGTCATAGCGGTCATTATCCGCTGTCACAGCGAGTGAAAACACCTTCCGCAGTCACTGTGACATCATCGTCTCTCACAATTTCGGCAAAAACCATCGCTATGAAATTGTCAATTTTTGATCACTCATCTTCTCAAAAGTTTACCGCTATAACAGAAATAAACGCTCAGCTCAGTTTGACTCCATTCAAGCTTGGCCTGATAAACATTTCTGATCCGAACTGACTCTTCTGCCCGAATTTTGGTTCAACCTGAAAATGTCTGGTTCCCACAGACCCCTAAAGTACACTTGGCGACCGAAAAACGAGGATAACGGAAAAATGTGTGCATTTTTTTGGGGATCCTATGGCCACCCTAAAGTCGTCACCTAGCCCATTTCTGATACATCTAGCCTATTTATTGTATTATCTTGATACCTCACAAAACTTCCGGGACTAAACGTTTCCAGTTAATCACTATGCCTTAATAGGCCCAAGTTCACGGCTAGGAAATATTTCTATTATCGATTTCAACTTTGTTATTGCTCATGTGCGATATCTTAGCCCTCCCAAATTTATACTTTTTTAAACCCAATAGAAGCTCAATTTCGAGACTGTTAGTTGTTGACTTTTCTAAAGAGATTTATGTGATTTTAGCCTAGTACCTCGTATACATCATGTGTTATTTCCTTTTAATTTTATAATTTGTTGTTTAGTCAAATAATGTGCCATTGACTATTGGATACTGAAGTTGTATCAATATTCAAAAGATTACGTATTCCTTTAATGCATTTTCAAGTTAGGAAAATTTGACTTTAGTGAAATAAAGCTGAATAAGGGATGCATTTAAACCAGAGTGGCATATATTTGAGTTTGACAATAGTCGTTGGTTGTGTTGGTAGAAAAAAATCATGGCCTAGTATAATTTTTAATAAATACTGTTGATTATCTTGACCTTTACCAGCCTACATTTTTTTTGGTACTGTATGTGTTGTGTTTATGTAACGGTTGGATTGTTGATTTAGTCCATTACCCTTTATAAACCTCAGATATTTTGACTAATCAAAGTTTTTATCATAAAAAACTATGAAATAAGGTTACCCATGAAATACCTGTTATGTAGTATTGATTACTTAGTTATAGAATGATTTTTATGTGACTTTATTCCTTATTATTAGCCTTATTGTTTTATCATGTATTGAATAAACATACTAAAATGTAATAAGAGTTATTTGTTGGTTTATTTATCCCTTGAACACCAGCTGATTCGATAAGTTTATAAAAATCTAGTAGAGCAGTTTTTTAAGTTCAGAGAATAATGAGTCAAATTAAATCACTGCTTTCCATCTGCTGCATATCAGTGGTGTAGTGGAGTGGGAACTCTACCACCACATAAGTTTTGCAGTTGAGGGAGGAGCCTATTTACCATATGGTTTTGAATGAACCAATGAGAACCATGCGGTGTTGCCAAATCTAATAATACCAGCTGATTTGAATATATTGCTTAGTATATTTTAATTAGTGTTGTCAATGGGCGATGTGGCAACGTCGCACTAGCCTTGTCTTGTGATTGGCTGCCACCAACTGCAAACTTATGTGGTCCCAACAATAAAATACTTTTTCAGACCAAAAGGATAAAAAACTGACTACACAAACTGCATAAAGTCCATTTCTGATTATCTGAGGTTGTTTTTGTTTTAGACCCAAAAATATATTTTTTTTATCAGAAAAACCATTACGAGTAGTTTACGTAACGATTGCTTAAAGATATAAAGATAATATTTAAAACTTCTAAGAGTGTCTTAAAGGCTAATTACGTGAGTTGCGTACACTTCTTTATTTACAACCATTTTCTCATTTGTTAACAATCACTACTCATAACGTCCAAGAAAGGTTATGTTTTTGTTTATAACCTTTCATTTCCATTGCCACTGATTATGATTAAGATACAACAACTCATTGACATTCAAAGCATTACAATTTCACTTCTTTTCTATCAATCCTTGAACCTCATTGGTCCAAACTTGTACTTTAAAGTAAGTAAACAAAACTGTAGTGGATCTTTTCAAATCTATATATTACAGTTAGAAACTCGATAGAGGTGTCTAAAGAAAGGTCTTGGTCTGTAGATGAGCCTTCAAAAGAGAAACGTGATAAATTCCCTTGGGCTCTGCCCCAGTATGAGTGAGTACATGTAGGGAAGTCAGCAAAGAAATATTCTACTTTTTCTCGAAATTTGTTTCCCAGAAACAGTTGAGACATTATTCACTATTTTTAAAATTATCACTTTGTATCGCTACCATAGATAAAACATACGTTCTTAGTAGGTTTCCCATCCTTATAAAACAGCTGAATCCAATTTTATCGTTAGTTCTGTCTGGTGCACCATTGAGGTCGTGTTTTGTTTGCAATTTGTTTCTTGTTATTTAAGTCATTTAAAACTCCGTTTAACCAAATAAACCCATAAAATCATAAACAATGATTCTCTAGTCATATAACCAAACAGTAAAGCACAAATCATGAAATTAACTCTAAAATAATATAAACAAAATCTTGTCGACACTAGCCACCTGTGTCACCGGACATGAATTAAACACGAAAAACGACCTTCAAAATTTACAATGGGATGGGAAGTCTATGTCGCTACCTAGCCCCATAAACCCTCCTTAGAGACAGGTTTTATTCCACTACATGAAACAAGTATAAGGTAAAATCAAGTACACAACTGTAATTATTTTCTTATATTTAATCTTTCAAACATTACGTAACAAATAATTATATCTATCGTTTAATTGAAACCAGCTACAAATAATATAATAATAGCATTCACTCTCTCTACACAGTATTGCACTATCAGCCATGAACGATCAGTCGTTCGGCAATGCAACGGAATCCGACTGTAAAAATATGATACACTACAATACATATTATGTACAATATACTAATCCATATGACACAATGTTTGATTGGTATGGCCTAAGGTGCAGGCGTAAAGCTATCAACATCGAACCGACGACATCGTTTTTGATTATAATATCAATGGATCATCGTCCGACGTAATCGGCCGATAACTAGCAAACAAAAACTCAATAAATAAATATTAATTTAGGAGTTACGAGTATTGTTACTGGTTAAACAACTCAGAAAGTATTACATAAGAGATGTAAACTGGCATTTTATTTACAATTTTAAGAAAATATACAACGCCTCTCTACAAGACATTCTGTATGATTGGAGAGTGCGGCACAGAAAGCCTGCACCTCACGAGCTTCACATGTAACAGTAACATTAACACTACACGTCTTAATAACATCTTGCATCTGTGATATAAAGTATTATAAAAACAATAGCTTTCCCTACAATTGACTACAGTGCCAAAAGGCTGGTCGGTTCAATAATGTGGCTCGACATTACGTACTGTCTGGATATGTCCGATGTAAACGGCATTCTCTGAAAACTAACGGATCGTACCTGTAAATATAAAGGCTATTGTGATGCGTAGCTTAAAAATACTTCAATCGTTAGAAAATAATGAGTATTTCTTCTGTATAATTCTCGAATAACCAGTGTCGAAAGCGTTGATGACTATTAAGCTGCGAAAACATTATACAAATCCTAAACAATACGACGAACATCTGATAACATAGAATCGTACGGTAAGACACGTATACATCCCACACCGACGTAGCTACTGGCTGAAATTGTGCTCACACTGTTCAGGCTGAGGGCGGGTCGCAGGATGATAACAAACTAATTTAATCAAAAGTTAAAATTCCCAATCGTAGCAAAAATTATTGTACAACTTTCACTAGCAAGACCCTCTGTGAAAAACTGAGACGGATTTTCTTGTAACAAAAATAAAAACACTAAATGGCAACATTTAAGGCTGCATGGCACTGGTCCTTTGTACACGAGATGTGAACCCTGTTTATAACGCCATCACAGAACATCGAACAAGGAGACGACGATACTAGCACCATCCATTGAGGAACAACATCTCTGATATATATATGATATAGAGTAACAGATAGAACAACAAAGGGTAACATAGATATCGATACTCCGCCTCCGGTGGAAGACAGACAGACGTGACTGATCACGTGTGACTGAGGAAGGCACAGAAAGTGGGTATGTGACACGCAACCCTACATTCTAACTTGACATTTGTGCCTCGAGACATTTCTGAGTGAAATCCTGTTTCTAAATTTTGACCTCGCCTATATCAAAATTATCACAGTTACTTAGTTTCTAAGTGATGTAAATTTCATTTCACCTGCACGGAAGCATTGACTATTGATACAACTAGACATTCCATCCCCATGTTAAAGTTGTTACCAGTTTTAAATCAAAATTGTTGTAGTTGATGTGAGCCACCGATACTGCACTGATCTAAATTACTAATTTTTGTCGAATACACAAACTTTTTTACCAAGTCAAACTGATGGAATCACATATTGTGAGATATGAACTGTTACGACCCAGCAACAAAAAATGACAAAAATATAATTTTAGACACTAATACATTCTCTGTGTGGCTCAAAACACTATGTTCTCTTTTAGGTAAAAATAGGCAACAGATGAGATGTCTACTTCAGTATCCAATAGTCAATGACGGAAGGGTCGCCTGACTTACGATTTCAAACTTACATTACACGGTCCTAATTTAATACTAAATGAGTATTGGAATTGTACTCGGGGGGTCGTTTAGAAAGCTGTCTGTGAGCCGATAAGGCACAAACATGGGTGGGTGCCACGGGGAAGAGGCACTGTGTAAGGCTAACACCAGGAGAAGCGACATCACACGTACACTGATAAGTATATACAGGTGCAAGGACACACTAACTGTTGAGCAGATTTGGTACATAACACTCACAGTTTAATAAATGCTTTCCAACCTACAAGTAAATCAATTTGCAACAATAAACAACGGAAGTAATTGGTTGATTCAAATGTATTCAATTCAGCCCAGATGATTAACGATACTAACACAGTGGTTAGTTTTGCATCTCCGTCAAGAAACAATTTAGTACTTAACGCAATTGATTCATAAGCATATATGGAAGTCATTTTCACAAATTTGCCAAAAAATATCAATACGCTTAAAACTTCTTACAATTTAGCTATCAACACGAATATGTCAGATCGATGAACAGTTCATCTTGATTTCAAACTTGTTTAACAAAAAAATACAGTTAGATGATGCCAAACATTTTTAAAACTAAATTTGAGATTTAAAATTAATCTCTAATATTTTTGTATGTGTTAGTTTAACAACCATTCATTACGATTTCATAAGGATAAAATATTTAACAATTTTGTAAATAAGTTAAATGATTATTTTAAACTACTTTACTCAATGGAGGATCTAATGCAGCAAATGTATCCAGCATAATATTTTTTTGGTTAACTTAAAAACATGTGCGTACCTTATTAATATAGTTAGTATAAAATAGCAAACAAAAACCAGTGAAAGTTTGTAAGTTTTCCATTAATGTCATTTTGCCATTTCTTTCACGGCCATCCAACTACCGAATTGGTCAACAAACCTCACAATATTTTTACAAAAATACAAAATTTCAATTACTCAACTCCCGACGACTAAATTGTTAGGATACATGCTGCATATCATCCTTCATTGAACAGTTTAGAAAAATATAGTTCATTTTGAACCGAGATAACAAAGATAAAAATCTTTCAATACATTATAACTATGCAACAAAAAAAAGCACCAAAATTACGTTATATAAACAAGAAATAAAATTCTACAGAATTTTAACAATCTTTTAACTGGTGTGTTTTACTTTCAAACAAGTGCAGTTAGACTCCATAAATATTTCAAACGGACTATTATTTTCTTAGGTAGGCGTTAACATTTTTATTCGCTCAATAAGATAAATACGGTCATTCTTAATATAAATCAACAATATCGTCCACAATCAAATGGTCGGACATATAATTAAAACCAAAAGATATAATGAGTTAAAATCAAATTAAAGAGCTAAATTATATTACAAATATATACAAAATTTACCACACAATCTTCTTAGAAACAACACACAAATTTGACTATCAACACCCTTTTCTTGGTGTTTGTTTCAAGTTAAATATAAAACACAACCTACAGTGACTAATAAGTGGGCTCCTATCATTACAAATTGTATATATATAATATATATTATCTCTCTACGTTGACTCAATATATTCTACAATCTCAATAGGCGATTTCTATAAATATATTTTCCAATCATTTTCAAGATAAATAAAATATGTCGATCCTTCCCTATTCAAAATAGATCCAGATATAACAGCTTACACTTAACACGAATATAACCTCTAAGGACACGTATAAACACATTAAAACGACATCTCACACAAAACGATACATCAAGAATATCGTGTTAACATGTTTATGGTCCTAACACTTGAAATGCTGTTTCCTCTATGGAATTTGTCAGTCACTATGTTACTCTATGGCGCAGAGGTGATGTACAGTTGTGGGTCCAGACTTTTACCACTTTAGAAGGCATCACAATAAGACATTATACTTTTGTGGTAATAAACCTTATTGAAATTGTGAACATTTAATCGGGCGGCCCATTTTGTATCTGAACCTAATTTTCCATCTTAATCACATTTTTTAAACCACTTTCAGTGCAAATCTTAAGCTTATTAAGAATACTTTGTGAGTTAAGAATTGAATGAGATGACTTGTGCAACTTTGTGACGTTATAAGCTAGGTTATAATTTATCTTTTAAAAAGCCAAAAGTTAAAAACAAGGATCGAACCAGCAATCTTTATATTACTAAGCATTCCAAACACCCAGCTGAGAATCTGGTGGTGGAAATTCAAAGACAGTAAAATCTTAGATAAATCTATAGAAGAAAAATATTTGATAAAATACTCCAAAAGATAGATGCATCATTTGGTGGTTTTACTTTCAAAATGGTCCGTCATAACTAAATGTTTACAAAACAAAGTTTCTGGCCCTGTATGTGGAGTGGACACTCGCGGAATGTTCACACGACACAAGCACGATGAGACACGTCACGACGCGACACAACGCGACCTCCCTGCGCTCACTGCATCATCTGTGGACAGAACACAAAGTTGGTGATGAAAATTCATTTTTTACTACAGTATCTATTTATACAATATTATTTGGTGAAGATGACTAGGCCAGGTTCCAAAGATTACGTGACATATAGTCTAAACTTACTGATGAAAATGGTTGAAATATTTATAGACAAAAATCTCAAGACTACGACTAAAGGAGCTAGAAATTCCAAAAAGACTACCTTCTGTTGTTAGACTACTTTCACAAGCTTGAAGCTTGATTTTTAAATTCTCCAAAACTTGTCTAAAATGAGGCACAGAGAAGTAAGGTAGAAAGGGAACACCCAATGGTGCACTTAAGTGATGTCCAGGGCAAAGTCTAACACCCCTCACCCTCATGTACTACAATGCTCTCGGTGGAGGAAGACCCTATGTGATAGGAATTTCCGAGCAATACTCACCGCTTGGGCTCTTCCTAGCTTGTCACAAGTATATTTCCGGCACAACATACTTGAGCTGAAAGCGCACAATCGTGATAAGCGAGTTTCCTCTGTACCTTACTTCTCAGTGGTTAAGTTTGGAGGAAAAGTAAATTGATGTCCTTAACTTGAAATTAATATTTTAGATCCTAGTAATTATATTGTAATTGATTGTATTACTTTGGGAGAAATAAATCTTTATTGTTATTGTAATTGATACTTACTGAGGTAGAGAGCAGGGAGGGGTGTAGTGGCTATGTAGCCCAGGAGTCTCTTGGTCTCTTGCTGACTGGTCCGTTGTCATAGTCATGTCTAGGGTCTCCCGGTGAACTGCCCATCGGACCTGTCAACACACCTGACACCTAAATCTTACTGGACTCTAACTTTGTATACTCAAGTAGACACCAGCTGTATTTAATTCTCCTTAGTAGGATGAAAGCACCAGTGAGTGAATGACCGTTTAGGCTTGAGTTTCCACTTCCATACATACAAAATATGTTATTAAGCTAGTGTAGTTAATTTTAGTTGCAGCTAAAAGGTTTTCACCATTCTCTTGCAAAATAAAGTAAAAAATGCCAATGTAGCTATGAAGTATATAAAAAAATAAATAAATAAAATCAGTACAACTTAGCCTAGATAATGCCTAATGATCTTCTATATATATAAAAGGCAAAGCCCTCACTGACTCACTCATCAATAATTCTCCCACTTCCCATTTACCTAGGAGGCTGAAATTCGGTACACCGATTCTTTGGGCATTAAATAGAAAAACTAAGTAGTTTTTATTCTGATCGGGCTTTCGGGCTCCGCGCCAGTGGCTCTGGAGTTTCCCATGTTAACCTTATGAGTACTCATATTTAAATTGAATTAATGAATCTTAACAGCTGCTTCAATTAAACAAGTTGGTTCTGTTTTATGATGTTCAATAGCATTAAAGTTACAAGGATTACCAACAGGGCGCAGCACTATTATTTTTTTTTATTTATGACAACAGCTAATTTGCAGCCAAAAGGTGGGTGAGCGTAGCGAACGAACTTCAACCAGGACGTGATTGAGCCATGCGAACGAGCTCACTTATGAAGTTAAACGGGGCCAAGCCCGCGGGTACAGCTAGTGGGGTCTGACTTAGGGGAGGTACAAATGAGGCATTTAGTTCAAAATTCCTCCGTGAACAGCGCTGTAGTAGAGAGCACTTTGGCAATGAAGGTTTACTAATCGCAAAAATAGTTCTGTTCATAAAATAAAATTATAAATGCCTAAAATTCAATTTTATTAATTTTTAATTATAAAATTAAACTATCATAACCTAACCGAACTAACTAAACTTGCTGATAAAGAAATAATATAACAAAAGTTTATAGTAATCGGAAAAATAATTCTGTTTATAAAATAAAACTAGAAATTGCTCAATTAAAATTTTATAATGACTTAATAATAAAATTAAACTGTAATAACCAAACCAAACCAACCAAACTTGCAGAAAATAAAAAAATCTTGGACAAAAAGTTAATGCCACCGGCGGGATTCGAACCCGGGACCTACAGTATATCAGCCCGGCACGCTAACCATTAGACCACCGAAGCCGATGGCTATCGACCGTTTTGTTACGGTAATGGCGTTCCCTCAGCTAATAAGAAGCCCTCAGCTGTCATCGTAGCCTCTTCTATACCTCCCCTGAGTAAATACCCAGCTAGTGGATAGTATATTTATGTTATTTGTTGTTTTGCTAACCAAACTAATTATTCCTGTTTTCAACTACAAATGAAACTCGAGAAGGTCACATTTACTATTTAAATTCTAAAGAAGGTTAGGTTTCTACAGTTGAATACCTGAAGTTCTGAGCTCTAAACGCAGGAGCTTAAATTTCCTAATGACTCTAGAGCACCGAAGTAAGCTACTAAGTGTATACCTACTGTGTTCAACTAACACAATAATGTGTTAGTCTTGTTTTTGTTCTAACATCTTGTTAACTACACAGTTTGTAATTGGCCATGAACACACCGTACAACAGTGGCCTCTGCGTAACACAGGTTAGGAAAGACTATCCTACACAGTATGCATTTTAGCATAGGTATACTGTAGTTCAGTTTACAGTTTGCTGTATGTTTACCTGTCTGTAAGTGATGCGTATGAGGGTGAGAGGACAGCGGGTGAGGCAGGTGGTGTTGCATGCTGTGGTCGCGCGGAGGTGAGATCGGCTCGCTCTTGATCCTCACAGCGCGTGGCGAGGGCGAACTGGGCGGAGGCGAACTACTCACTCCCAGGTGCGGCAACCCGCTGCGACAAACAAAAGGTGTTAAGATAGTAAACAAAGGAGGTAAAGCAGACTACCCTCCGTACAGAAAACACTTTTTTCATTAAAGAGTAGTTGGTATTAAGTAGAATAATGTCACTAAACATACTCCCATAGTAGATTTGTCATTCTTAACTGAAGACAATAATTTCATTGTTCCGTCCAGTGCCGCTGCGATCTTATTTTTGTTTATAATTATTAGTTTCTTGTTATTTAAGTTATTCAAAACATTGTTTAGCCAAATAAAACAATCTAATGATGAAACAATGACTTGCCTCCTAGATATAACAAAAGAATTCATAAAATTAACCCTAAAATAATAGAAGCAACAATTGTCTCAACACCCAATATCACCAAAATGAACTAGACATAAGAAGATTTAGATAAATGGGATGAGAAGTCTACTTGTGTTGGTAAGTCTATACTAATGTCTTTTCACTCACCACAGTGGCGCATGATTATCTTACCATCACAAAGCTCGACATTGTCATTCACTCTCCAAAGCTTGCACAAACTATGGTTTGGATCTACAGCTTCAGTTAAGAATGTTCTAGCCTTTCTAGAATACAATCCCAGTAATCCACCTGACTTAGGGAGAACGTCCAAAGATTTCACGATATTTTTGGTGGTTCGATGGGTTGCAAAGTGTGAAGACACAATCAAAATGCCCATATATAATTCTCATGCTACTGCGCTCTTATAAATTACACAAACAGCCGAATGTCTCACCTAGAATGTGCTGCTAGGCTAGATGTGGTCCAATTGAGAGCTGAAGCCAGTCCCATGTCCGATGTGGTAAGGTCCGTGAACAGTCCAGGGTATGAGCCGAGAGGTGTCTGTAGAGCGACGACGGGTGTGTTGAGCGAAGACGTCCCCACCCCCGTAGCCTGTAACAATCAAGTTGGTTAGCATATTGCACTGGAGCTGTTACATTTCGGAGCAAATATTAAAAATATCTCATTTGCAACCAACTCTAGGCCAAACAAAAGTTTAATGAGGGGCTGATATGTCTAACTCCCTTAGTATATTTGAATTTGTTACAAAAATCATTTATGATATACCAGATATATTACAGGGTGTCTATCAGTCACAAAAATAACTGACTTTACTATGTGGTTACAGAAGTCACAGAAAAGTAACTGATTTTCATTTTAAGGTACCAAAAATCAAGGGTAAAAATCAGGTCTAGCTAACTATGATTAAATTTATATTAGAATCAGTGTGGGTGAATATATATTTTGGGAGAAGTCAACCAGCTCAAAACGTTTTATCAGTACCAAAGTTTGTGCGTTTTTGTTGTTTGCCTTGTCTGCTCCCCCCCCCCCCCTAAAGTCACTGAAATTTTCTGTGACAAAACTCAGGTAGACACCCTGTTAAAGTTAAACCAAACATAATGAACTCTTATATCATTACTCATAAATGTGACTTAAGAATTTTTTGCACATCATTCAATTATTGATGGCCCCGTGTGACAATGGCATCAGGTATGCATCTCACGTGAAATTAAAACCCAGCGAAGGTTTCAAGGCAACTTATAGATGTGAACTCACCTCTTCGTGGGGATTGGGTATAACCACCCTGAGGTTGGTGCGGGGAGGTGCTGGTGACGAGTGTTTTGGGGGCATCTGTCCCGGAGGCTTGTGTAGCTGGTGTGTGGGTGGACCGGGTGAGGGTGAGCCACCCAAACCCGGCGACGCTGACGGAGGATATCCATTACTCATCTCTAGCATGTTTCCAGGAGGGTAGACTGTAAAATAGAAGAATGATATACAAAATACAATATAATTATTCAAAGGAAATATAGTTAAGACAATTTTTTTATGGGCGGGGTATGAAAAAAATTCATGTTGTAAATTTACGAGGTTTTAACCAATTTTGTTATTTTATCAGTTTGAAATCTTTTTACACAGCTTAAGTCTTTTTCTTTGATAAATTGATCGCATACTTTTTGAATGATCAAATTACACATTGGAAAGAAAACTAAATGATAACTGAAATAAAATTATCTCATATTTTCATAACAACAAGTCAATATAAAACATTCCTGTCTTAAAACATTACGTTGTGTACTTTCAGGATAAAAAAGTAATGAGAGAATACACACAATACAACTCAACTATAAAAAAATATCACAATAATAACATACAGTACTGACCAGAATCGGCATCAGAAGAGGAAGGTCTAGGACTGACAGACGAGGTTTGACCCATGTGAGGCGATGACTGTAGCAGGGACGAGTCATTGTAACCGACCGGGACTGTCACTGGCAGAGAGTAACTCGTCTGTCCAACCTGCAAAGATAGATTAAATTGAAGGTGCGCTCCAATTGGTCCAAAATTATCTAGGTTCTGTAATGCCACTCTTGGTAATGTTTGGTAAGCGCAAGAAAATACTTATGGGTTAAGGGATGTTTTGGAGGTCCTAATGTCTTTTGGATGCTTGGTCTTAATGTCAATTTATCAATTTATACAGTTGCTGAAACTGCCATTTTAAATACGTGTGATGGCACGATTTTGTCTAAAATAAACAAGTTTTATTTGTTGTAAATTAGTATTTTTATTCACCTAATAACTGTCTTAAGAAACATAATTTTTGAAAAGATAAAGGGTTATTGCATTATTCATTTAGTTTCTAAAACATGTTTTGAACCTACCCCGGTCCCCTCGTACCTAACTGATACTCTCCAAAAATTTATCCGTTAATTTTTCTGGCAACCTTCACAACCTAGGATACGAGGCTCTTGTCCGAAATCGTTTTACACATTAAGGTTAGGCCTAGAGGATCGGGGGCATTATCAAGAAGCCAAACCCATTTGGGATTGCCAAGATTTGAACCTGGGACCTCAGGGACTGAAGGTCCCCACTGGCAAAAAGAACTATTCCAATAAATTCTTATAATACCAACACTTAACTAGTTTTCACTGACATTTGGTTGTACAAGTAGTAGTCTTACCCTGTTAGTCGCTGTCCGCTGCATCATAATCTGGAACTCCTCGTCTATTTTGTTGTACTTAGCCTCAGTCCGGGGAGTCAGCTGGTACTCCGTGTCTCCCTCAGGACTGTCCGGACTGCACGCTCCGTTCTTGTGTTCCTTCTTGTTGAGTGCCTAAAATGCATGGAGCAATAAATATTAAATAGAATTAACAAAGGTTTAATGCACAGAATATATTGCTGGGTGTCTCTGGTTGGGTTAAAAACGTTCATAATTGCACATCAACTGTAAATTTAAACAAGGAGGAATTTAAGAAAGGAAAAATAAAAATTAAAAATGATTACTAAAAGAAAAGAGCTCTAAATATTTTCATAAACTATTAACTAACTACCGAACTATGATGCTAACACACCCTTTGGTGCTTAGTTTAAGCAATAGATGCTTGGGCTTCAAGTTCACAAGAACAATTAGAGTTGTAGACCATTAGATCCAATCAATGGCTGAGCAATCTAAGGTATTGTCTATCTAGCCAGAGCACACCTTAGATTAAGTTTGGATCTGTTTCTGACATAGACGAGGGAAACCCATCTATGTTGGGCAGCTTAAGTTAGAATTGGGTTAGTTCTTGGTTACACCTTAAATTAGGAATTCTACTACTTTTACTTTTTTTGAGTTACAACCAACAACTTCAACAATTTGAATTTTTTTCTTCATAAGATGAGAAATATGACAAAACACACACATAAACACTACGAATAATTCCTATAATGTAAAGGGTCTACAACATTGTCTAATATGTTACTATTTCACAAGTGCCCAAGGTGTTCTAGTCTACTACGGCACTCACCTCAATGATGTTCTTGTTGGTCAGGCTCTCGTGGGGTTCATTATATTCCGTGTATTTGAGCAAGACTTTGTCCATGTCAGTAGACGCGTACTGATACAACTTGTTGCTGCTGCTGAATATGATAAGTGCTATCTCACAGTCGCAAAGCACGCTCAGCTCGTAAGCTTTCTTCATCACGCCGAACTTGCGCTTGTTGAAAGTCACCTGCAATAAAGATTTATCGTGAGGAATTTGAACAAACTTAAGAGATCGGCGAATGTACAGATGCTAGAAACAAAAAGGTGAGCAGTTAAGCTCCAATGAACCTAGAAGTAAAATATGAGGGTACACATTTTTGTCTGTTTAGCAGAGTTTAACCTTCAAATTTTTAAATCTAATATAACACTGCAAATATAAAAAAAAATTATGGGAAATATATTTTTGAAAAAAATACTTTAGATTGCTTTCAGTTTTCATTACAGTTTGGCTAGTTTGTGAAATTGGCGAATATGACAGAACAGATATTGGTGGCTGACATACTCTATCAGTTGCTCAGTTAAACAATTTTAATTTTAATGCTACCTCCAACTTTACCATAGGAAAGTGATGTCTCCTACTCTCATAGATATAGGTATTATCAAAATAAAAGGTAAAAATGATTACTGGCAATGTTTTTTTCACACTATTAGATGAGTTTACCTGACGGTTGCGCTCATCGGTGATCCGAGATATCTGTATTTTCTTGCGACCCATGGCGGGTGAGACGGTGGCCCCCGGACTCCCCAATATGTTTCCGTGACGGGTGGCAATTCTGGCGGCTGGCTCGGCGCGGCGGGGCGACTAAACTGTGCGGCTAACGCGACAGATCTGCAACAGACATACAGTAATGTTAGTCAAGACTAAACAACAAACTAAAAATCTAACATAAATAATTAAAAGATTAACAATTAAATGGTATTAGAAATCTGACGCATACTTTCTCCCATCAGCTTGTCAACAACCCTTATCATGGGAAAGCGGTGGGAGTAGCTATGGTATTTTATGAGTAAAAATCACAAAAGTTACAATAGCTGTTTAACACTAATTTTTACAGCATTGGGGATGTTACCATTTTGTTGAGCATTAAAAAGGACAGTTATAATGCAAATTTTAATTAAAATCGGTGAAGCTGTTTTCTACAAATCCGGGATTTCAGTTAATCACCATTCAAATCACTATTTCCAAAATAAAAAACACCATGGTACCTAAACATACCGATTTGTATAAAAAATTAACCACATTATGCAGTACGTAGCTCAGTACACATACACACACACACACACCACTTCGAAAACCACTTTTTGGGGTTCAGGGGGCCCAAAACAGATATTTCCACCCAAATCTCAAACTAAAAATTGTTGACAAAAATACTTTTTCCATATACTATGGGAGAGAGTTAAAAGATCTTTTCATGAAGGTAAATTCAAGGTGCTAAGCCGTAGAGTCCAGTTTTCCTATTACAACAGCTGAGTGATCAAGAAGGGAGACCCATCAAAGACCAATCATTAACCATGTGATAGTTACAAGGTTTGTCTATCATTCCTGTTTCAACTTACCAACAACAACTTAATACACTGTATAACCTACCAACCTCAATGCTTAAGGTATAAATAAACTTCCATTTTTCAACCATCTTCACTCAAGACTCAGACAAATAATGTCGAAAGAGGTGTATCAATAATATGATTAGTACATAAATGACACAGTGAATATAACAAAGGGTACTTTTTACAAATCATATAAGGTAAACCCAAATTAGTAACGAAATGGTAATGTTTCAGCAGCAAGAGTTCTTTAATAATCTGTACAGATCATATAGATTGCTCTACATCAGGGAAACATCTTTATCAAATAAGATCGGAACGTAGATGTGTATTTAACTCAAATATTAGTCGTGAAGGATGAGTTTAGAATGGTGTGAGATGATATGTGTAGCTTTACTGACTAAGATCGTCTGTTTCATCACTCCGGATCATTATTTTAAAGCCTAATGATCAGGGACAGCTGGGTCCAGTTTCGAACCATCAAAAAGCTACTGACTTTTCTCAGCATCGAACTGGTGACCTTTTGACTGTCAGGCGAGAACTTTAACCACTCAGCTACCCAGCCAGAGGAGCCCACAAGTATTGTTTGAACACATTAACTTTTATATTTTTTGTATACCCACACATAGTTTAAATAAATTATATTTTGGTATAAACTATATGTGGGTATAAAAAATATCAATAAAAATAATCACGAACATTACATTTACAAAATGTAATTTAAATAATGTTTCAAATTGACACAAAATAGTTTTACACTGTTAATATGCCTACTCTGATCCAGGAAAACAGGTAGGAAATAGAGGCACGAGGAGAGCATTTTCAAGTGTTTAAGTGAATGGAGGTTGCTACTGGGGCAGGTAGGGGGTAGGGGTCAGCGGAGGTGTGACCCCCGGGGGGGGGGGGGTACGACCCCCCTTGGTGCTGACGTCAGTCAGAGACAGTCGCTTGGCAACGTATCCTCATCCTACAGCCTACACAGTGTCACTGAAGTCCACTGACTAAAGTCTGCCTACCCATGTTACAAGCACACGATGTGCTGTGAAAACTGTCCCTTTGGAAACTACAGTGTGATACTGAGCTTTAAAAATGTGACCAAATTTTGTTTTATATTGGAACTCGACAATTTCTTCTATTAAAAGCACATAGTTGTATTTTTAGGGTACGGACTGTAATCATGCGTTTAAAGAACTTTGATAACAAAATTTTATAATCATTAATTTAAGCCCAATAATCAGGGACAGCTGGGTCCAGTCTCGAACCATCAAAAAGCTACTGACTTTCAATATTACTGACTACATAATCACTGACATTGAAAATATTTGTGTCAATACGTATTTACACACATACAGTACTTCTAGGAATATAGCCTACACAAATTGACTTAAGGGAGGCTTAAACTTTCAATCATTATTTAAAATTTTGCTAAAAGCGTATCATTAAATTTACTTTAGGGTTTAAATCGTCAAAATCTTCTATGAAACATAGAGAGTACATAGAAGAGTTATTTTACCAGTGTAATAGCTGTGTATTGAGTCCAACGTTTTACTAAGTGTTTTATGAACTTTGACAAAAAATGAGTTTTATAACATTTTAAAGAAGGTTGTGTTGTTAGGTTACCTCTTCACGGGTGTAAAGTGGTAACTTACTTAATTTTTGGTGTGAAGTTTGTCTGAATTGAGTGTTATTTTTTTAAAACCTACACAATTTTTTTTGCGAATAATTGCGTACAAACTTAAATAAGCGTGGTTATATTATAGGAAAATCATAAATACCCTTTATTCGCATTTCAACACGATTCTAAGAGAATATAAATGATAATGAGTGTAGAATATAAGCTGACGCCTTGTAATATAGAAATCTGTTTCTTTAGTCAGTGCTATTTACTAAAAGCACATCCATTAAAAAACAACTAGTTAAGTTTCAAACCATAGAGCCACCAAGCTCATAATTTCTCGGGGTCGAACTAGCGAACTTCTGATTTTTGGGCGACCAGTAAAACCACTCAGCTACCGAGTTAACCGATAAACATATACATTTTAGTCAAAAATTGGGGTGGGTTATTTGTTAAAATGAGTAGAGAGAGGAGAACAAATAGAGTGGAAGACGAGAGAAGTGGTTATATCATAGAGCAAGTAAAATCATTCACAAACAAACAAATTAAATTCTTTTCTACGAAACTGAAACTACATCATATGAATGTTTGAATTCAAACAAACAAAAACACGTGTGCATAAGAAATGGATGAATCATCAATTGAAAGGGGTGGTTCTGGGAACCGTCGCAGTGTCAAGGCCACATAAAGACCTTGGCTCTCGATCGATAGCGCTAACCGCATAACATCTCGCCACATTGTTACTACTGATAACGACCGCATAATATCTTACCTGCTGATAAGGTCATCTTGAAGGGCAACTCACAAGAGTATCTTCATCATGTGTATTTGTAAAGTCATTTGTATTGTATCTATGCGCATAGTGATGTATTCTAATATTTTGACCGCGTATATTTTTGTGACTCAAGCTGGACTGGGCAATTGATAGTGAAATGTGTACAGCCTAATTCCGTATTCTTATTTGTCAAATAAAGTAGATTTGTAATCATCATTGTAGTCACAAGTTTAAGTTGTACTTGCTGCTAATGAAACTGACGATTGGTAGGTGATAAATAAAAGTGTATTCTTACCTGGAATACTTGCTATCACTGATAATCGAGTGCTTTAAAATTGGTATATTAAGGTGACGGTAATCACAATCTTATCGCATATTATACTTGATGATCAATGTGATAAGATAAAGCCTTAAGGGATTGGTATACAATGGTAACAGTAATCCCCGTCTTACCGCATATTATACTTGTTGATAAATGAGATAAGGCCTTGGGGATTGGTATACAAAGGTAACGGTAATATCAGTCTCATTGCATATTACACTTGATGATCAATGTGATAAGATGAACAAACAAAAATTAAACATCACTTAACTGAACTTACTGTGTCAGTAAGTTCTGATAAGAACAAATACTACTATCAACAAACAGACATCTGCCATGCAAAACCCTAATTTAACAATTTTCTGGCAATAGAAGAACAATTTTTACAGTTTTAATAATTGCGAAGAATGGCTAGTTTTTTACGTTAAAATAACATCGCTCACACAATATTAATCCAAAAATTATGGAACAAAACTGAAAATATATATTAATTTATTAAACCGTAAGGTTAACAGTTTGTGACAAAACCTATGTTTGGTAATGAATATTTTTATAATATTTGTATTTTCTTAATTCTGGTTCAAAAGCAAGCAAACCAAGGTCTATGTAATTTTAATCGGGTGATCTTTAGTGGAGGGGGCCCTTAAAGCAGTGATAATTCGTCTCTAAGAGCCTTTATTTTATTCATAACTAACGTTCTCACGTATTAGTTAAATGTGGGTTCTAAAGGACTAGGTCACGGCATTATTACACAAACATGACAAATTTGAAAACCTTATAAAGGGTAAAATCTGGCAACAAAACAACACAAAACTAAGTCAGGTATGTGAAAAAGCTTGTAGAATGCATTATTATACATATATCTTTAACGCAAAACCACTTCTCTATGGAGAACACAATTTCCACAGGTAAATCAGCTGATTGTGTCTACCTGTGAGTTCAGTACAAGGATGTTTGAGAGCCACCACGGTCATAGGGCGACCCCGTTATGGGGATCGATACACGTCCAACGCCGTCCAACCAAGATGCGGCGAGCACGAGTTGGACAACTTTTTGCCCACTCGCTAAGTCTGAGCACGATTTTGAGAGAAAACACGAGTCTTAAAATAGCACGTATCCCTCTTTGACTACCATAAAACAATGTTCAAGCACAACAGTTGGTTAATATTTTGGCACTTTAAAAGCATTTCGCACGAACTGGACACGTTTTCGGTGTCTAGAGTCTAATTTTTTGTTAGGTTGACGAGACTGGCTTTGGTCACCTGCTTAGTGAAAATCTGTATGTTAGTCTACTTTTATTTACCTGGCTGAAAAACGTGTGTTCGGCAATAAGTAGTTCCTTTAATGAACCTTTATTTTAATCACTCATTATGCCCAGTTGGTACCCATATATACAGATCACAGGCATGAAATGGAGCAAGAAAGAAAATTAAGAGTGAGGAAGAAGGAAAGTAAATAATGAGAACGATTTAAAGGAATATTTTTAACTAATAAAACTAATTAATACATCTTTGTCAAGTGTGTTTTTAGGTTCAAGTTTCGTTATATATCGTATTGAATCGTAGGTATGCC